CACGTTCATTGTCACACATCTTCCTATGAAGCAAGGAGGAGGCAGAAATAAGCTGCTTTGGAAGAGACAGAGATAGAGAGACACAGTCTATAAATCATAATGAGTACTGTTAAATAATATTTATAGGAGGTCATTGGTTTGGACTGAGTTCTTGCACAAGGCCCAATAGACCAAACCAAAATGGAGTCACTCATTCTGAAGTTTCAGGGCCACAATGGTGAAATGCAGTTGTTTATCTGCCCTTCCAAGAAATCAGGAGAAAGAAAAAGATAATAGCCAAATCCCCAAACAGGCCAGTTGTAGTCAGCATGATAAGGAAGTCCTCTCTGGGTTAACCTTTATAAGAAAAGAATTGTGAAAGGCCCAATTTGCTTTTTGTTCTCTGTTTCTACTTTTCTCAGCCCTTTTACATCTATAAAGGCAACTTCATAGACTCTTCATAGACTCATGAGAACGAGCTGTGCCCAATTCTAGAATTGCAAATAAAAACCAATCAAGGCCGGGCGCGGTGGCTCACGCCTGTAATCCTAGCTCTCTGGGAGGCCGAGGTGGCACTCACTCTAGCCTGGGCAACAAAGTGAGACTCTGTCTCAAAAACAAAAAAAACAAAAAAAACAAAAAAAAAAACCAATCAAGGTCTTAAAAAAAATTAACTGTTGTTGTGTCTTTTGACAATATTTATTGAGCATTTACTATGTGCTGGAAGCTTTTCTAAGTACTTTACCTATGTTGACTCATTTGACTGCTATGCCAGATCTTTGACATAGGAGCTATTGTCATCCTCGTTTTATAAACGAGTGAATGAATTCAAAGCAGATAAACATGACCTCTCTTGACAGTTGTTCATATCCTTTCGTATTTTCCAATGCACATATTTCTGTGTGTGCACACATACAGTATCTGTGTGTTTATACTTATACTTTCCATATTGTTCTATAATCTCACATTCTCACTTGGCAGGATTTCATGAATCTATCTTTCATATTAAATAGAGATATACCATCATTTTTAAAATATTTATCCAGTGTGATGATTAATTTTATGTGTTCACTTGACTGTTCAACAACATGGCCAGATATCTGATTAAACATTATTTTGGGGTCTGTGTCCATGAGGGCATAGATATCCAGATGAGATTAGCTTTTGAACTGGTGGATGGAGTAAAGCAGACCATGTAATTCACTGAGGGCCTAAACAAAAGAAAAAGGTGGGGGAAGGTTGAATTTATTCTCTGCCTGACTGTTTGAACTGGGACATTGATCTTCTCCTGCCCTGGGTGCTCCTGGTTCTCAGCCTTCAGACCTTACTAGAATCTACACCATTGGCTCTCTGGCCATCAGGCCCTCAACCATGCCACCAGCTTTCTTGGGTCTCCAGATTGCAGATGACGGATCATGGGACTTCTCAGCTTTCATAATCTCAGCCAATTACTTCTAGCAATCCTATCTGTCTATCTATGTATCTATTCTATTGGCTTGTTTCTTTGGAGAATCCTGGTTAATATATGCAGTACTAACATTTTCTAACACAATAGTTTATATTATAGATTCACTTTTGCAACTTGTTTTTCACATAAAATGTATTAATAGCATGTAAAATCTTTCTACATGAAAATATGTATATTTTCTTTATTCTTTTTTGATCCTACATTTTGTTCTATTGTATTAATACACCACAATAGATTGAACCATTCATTCTTTTCTTGATGGATATTAAGGTCATTTGCAAGATGGTAAAGTACATGCTGTTCATTTATTTCTGTGTACTTGTGCAAGTGTAGGGTAGATTTCTAGATTATTGAATATGAACAATTGAAAGTTTGATAAGTATTGCCAAAATGCCTTTTGGAGAATATACATAAATACCACATCCTTTATTAACCCCGGGTATTATTATCACTTACATATTTTAAGAAACATTAAAAGTAAAAATAAGAGGTAATTGTTTTAATTTTGCATTTCCATTTTTATTATGAGTTTAAGCATTATTAGGTTTATTAACATTTTATTCTTTCTTATCTAAAATACCTGTGTTTATCCATTACTAACCAACTTTCAGGTTACTTGACTTTAAATCTTGATTGCAGAACTCTGTTTATGATGGATACTAAATTGTTGTTTGTATATTTTCAGAATGTTGTCTTTTAATTTTATTTAAAAATCATTGAGTAACTTAATGAATAAACAAATAGATGATAAAAGAGATAATAACTGATAATTAAAGTACAATGTGTTAAATTTATAATAAGCATATATACCCTGGGCACTGTGGGATCATAGAAGAGTAGTATGTAGAGAAGGCCAACTGCACCAGGCAAGACTTGAGCCATGCTTTATGGTATGACTAGAAATCATTAGGTCGAAGAAGATGAAGAAGTTGTTCTGGCAAGAGGATGCAGCAATCTGAATAGAAAAAAGCGAGGTCTATTCTGGAAATTATAGGTAGTTCACTTTGCCTAGAGTGAAAGGTCAGGAGATGGGGCTACAGAGAGGGTGGGGAGTCAACTTATGAATGGCGTGCATTTGAACTTTACCATGAAAACATGGGAGGCAATAATATGTCAAGATTTGGATTTCAAGACTATCCTAACACAAGTATGAAAAATGGTTCTGAAGGAGTCAGTCTGGAGGCAGGAAGACCAGGTTGTATCTAGTTGAGGAAGACTAATTTAATTTTTTCATTATGATAATCATCAAGGGGGAAAAATGACAATTTTCAAAATTTCTCTATAATTGAAATTGAGTTACCCCTGGAAGAATATATACCTAGGGAGTACAGATGGTTGGGGGTAAGGGGACTTTTCATTTTCTTCTGTAGACATATTTGTATTATTTGAGTTTTATTTTTTTCAATCAAACATTGACTTTAATAATAAAACAATAATTTTTTAAAAAACTGCACCAATAACAGATGGGAAAGATCTGCCTATTTCTAAGTCAGATCGCTTGTGTTACAAGTATTTAGTACTTTTGTGAACCACCAAATCAGTATGAACCCAAATTTTAATATGATTGCTAATAGCTACTGTAATAATATAGTTGGTTACATTAGTATTTTGTAGTATTCTAATAAAGAGTTTTTATGCCTTGCTTTTTAATAGTCAGATTGTATCTGTATTCACTTTGGGTGTCAAAACTGAGATCAATTTGGAGCACGTTTGGAAAAAAGGAACCATCAAGGAAATGACTTAAAATCATGTTAGATAAGTAACTATTAAAGAAAATGGTAGTAGGTATATCTCACATCGTCACATTGTACACCTCAAATGAACATGATTTTATTTGTCAATTACACCCCCCTTCAATAAATCTGGGAGGAAAAAAGAAAATGGAGATGTTGTGTTTGGAGCCAGGTCAGGCAAGACATTTGACGTCAGTTGATGATGTATCGTGTCAAAGAGAAATGCGACATATTTCATTAAACTTCTAGGCGAAATAGAAAGAAGTAACTGAAATTATAAGAGGGCAGATTTTGACTTAAAAAAGAAAGAAATCAAGTGGTATATCCTTTTTTATGCCTAGAATCTTATATTCCTGATGTTTTTTTTTTGCCAGTTTCTCATTAACTGGTAAAGACTACACTATCCCTTCATTTAACTAATTATTATTATGGCCAGTAGCACCATGACAGTTTCCATAAAGCTCAGCCATGTTTATTGGATGTAAATTCATTTAATAAGTTTGCAATAATTTTCTTTCATATTAAACAAAACTAACAGGTTCATTTCTTAAGTTGGTTATGTTAGATCTATTTTCATGTTTTCAAACTAGTACCTTAAAGGGTAGTGTTAACAATAATAAACAATTAGCTTTGTCATCATTACTGACTTAACTAGAAACACCTCCTCTCTCACACACTCTACCTGCATAAGCTTAACTTGCCACTTTTGTTCCCATGGTCTTCACATTTACTGAAGTTTTCTCACACACAGCTATTGCATTCTATTCTCACCAACAAAGGTGGAGTGGAATCAGTTGAAAAATAGAGCTATCCTATATGGTCTATTTCAAGGCCTATATCAAATACTTCAGAAGATAAAATTTAGTTTCATCCTATAGCCTTGGGATTCTGGTAACCCTACAACCCCATGTTACCCATGTTCAAATACAATAGACTATAGGATATACTTTGTTATTCTGTCATCTTAGGCTGTTGATATGGTAATAAGGCCCAAAAAAGGCAACACAATTTACATTTTTCTTGTGACTTGGTATACTTCCAAGATGTCTAATATTTAAGCTCTAGGAGAATACTGCATACCTGACAGAATTTGGACTATGATTTTGCAAATATGATCAAGTTCTTGAGTTGGAAAATGGATGTGTCAGTTGGGGTTCTCCAGAGAAACACAACTAATATGATGCGTATGTGTGTGTGAATGTGTACACACACAAAGACACACACATTTATAGATATGTGAAGAGATTTATTATAAGGAATTGGCTCGTGCAAGTATTGAGGCTGGCAAATCCCAAGATCTGCAAGATGAATCAGCAAATTGAACCCAGGAGAGCTGATGGTGTAGTTCTAATTTGAGTCTGAAGGCCTAAGAGCCAGGAGAACCAATGATGAATTTCCAGACTGAAGACTGGAAGCTCAAGCCCCAGGAAGAGCCAGTGTTTTAGTTTGAGTCTGAGAGCAGGATTAAAAAACAAAACAAAACAATGTCCCAGTTTGAAGGCAGGAGAAATGCTTACTCAGGAGAGGGTCAGCTTTTTTATTCTATTTAGGCCTTCAACTGATTGGATGAAGCCCTCCCACATTAGGGAGGACAATCTTCTTATTTCAGTCTACATATTTAAATGTTAATCCCATCCAAAAATGCCCTCACAGACATACACAGAATAATGTTCTATCAAATATCTGGCCAACCCATGGCTCAGTTAAGTTGATACATAAAACTGAAAATCACAGTAGAATTAATAGATCAGATGTTACTATTGCTCGTCAGCATTTCTTACATGTTATCTGTTTATTAATTCTTTCTTTCCCTTATTCAGGAATTATTTACCTAACATCAACTCTTAGTCACTTGGAGTCCACTACACTTGTGTTGATGGTCTGTGCGCGAGATGGTGGTGGGCTCACAGCTGTCGTTAATGCCGATGTCACTATACACATTCTCCAGACGATTCTGGCGCCTGCTGAATTTGAAAGGCCTAAGTATACTTTCTCCATTTATGAAGATGTGCCTGAAGACAGTATTGTTGGGACAGTGAAAGCAAGCGAGCCCTTGAGTGAGTGTTTGTTTCTTACGCTGCAGCAGAGTCCATTATCAGAACATTTCCTGTGTTCTCTTAGGCTGTGCAATCTTGCTTGAGTAATTCTTTCCTTCTCTCCTTGCAAGACAAATGCAGGGCGATAGCACACCTATGGCATTCTCTTTGTTTGTTCAACATTCCACAATTTATATTTCTGATCACAAAGCTAATGGATATTTTTTAAAGAAAGTTGAAAACAATGCAGAATAATTATAAGGCATATAGTATGTGTCTCCTATAACCCCCTCACCGAAAATCACACACACACTTTTAAACTGCCTCAACTTCTGCGGAGGGCATTTGCCCTTCATAGGTAGATATCACAGAGAAACATCAACATAAACTTAACTTGGCTTCCTCAACTATATAAAAAAGATAGCCAAGTTAGGTTCTGAGTATCTTTCCCTTTTATCTAGGAAGAATGAAGGGAGACAGTGAAACCTGTGGCTTGCTTTTTGTCCGTTGGACATTCTCTGTGTCTGCCAAATAATCTCAAACCATGTGTCCACTTCTCAACAGTCTTGGAAAGCTTAGGAAGAAGTAAAACATTGCACAGTATTCTCCACAGATGCAGTGTATGTAGTCATGCATCCTTAACAACAGGAAACATTCTGAGAAATACGCCCTTAGGTGATTTCATCATTGTTCAGATCCCACCGAGTGGGCTTACCACAAACCTAGACGGTATAGCCTACTACACATCTGGGCTATAGCCCATTGCTCCTATGCTACAAACCCGTACAACGTGTTATGTACTGAATACTTTAGGCCATTGTAACACAGTGGTAAATATTTGTGCATCTAAATATATCTAAACATAAAAGAGATACAGTAAAGATATGGTATTGTACTCTTATGGGACCAACATGGTATATGTGGTCCATCACTAACTGAACTGTCATTATGTGGCACATGGCTGTATTAATATTTCCAGCTTCAGCGTTTCCAGTTGGTACATTCCTTTGGCATGCCGTGATTGCTGTCTCTCTCTTTTCAGACTCCTCAGAACCAATCTTTTACAGAATTTCTTCTGGCAATCTGGACGGAAAGTTCTCGATTCACCCGTGGCTGGGCACGATTCGCACCCAGAAGCCTCTGGATCACGAAACGCAGCCCGTGGCTGTGCTCACGGTGCAGGCGCAGCTCGGCAGCTCGGCGGCCTGCAGCAGCACGGAGGTCAACATCACGGTCATCGACGTCAATGACAACCACCCCGTGTTCCTCACGGCCTCCGAAGAGATCAGGATACCGCACGCCACTCCGCCTGGCACAGCCTTGTACCTCGCGCGTGCGGAGGACAGAGACAGTGGGCGGAACGGGTTCATCCGATATGCCATCGCCAGCCAGCATCCCAGCGTCTTCACCATCGACCGGGGTCTGGGTGTGCTGTACCTCAATGCCAGCCTGGCAGGCGACGCGCCGCAGAAGCACGTGCTGACGCTCGTGGCCGAGGACCTGGGCGTTCCTCCTCGGGCATCCCTGCTGGCCCTGACAGTAGTTGTCGAAAAACAAGAACAAAGCCCATCCTTGACTTTTGGACACCTAGTCTATCAAGTGGAAGCGAGCGAGTCGCTCGCACCGACGACACAAATCCTGCAGACGCAGGCCCGCGCGCTTGGCCCACGGCGCGCCACCGCGCGGCCAATGTACTGGCTGGAACCCGGCGTGCACGCCGCCGTGTTCGGAATCCGCCCTGACACGGGCTGGATTTATCTGCGGCGACAGCTCGACTACGAATCCACACAAACACACAATTTTAGAGTGTTTGCCCGGATCCCGGAGGACAGATTGCTGCAAAATGTGAGCACTTCAGTCATTGTTCATGTCCTGGATGAGAATGACAATTCCCCTACCTTCTTGCATGATGTGTTGTTTTTGAAAGTTGAAGAGAGCCCCGTTCCCCAAGGGGTAATAGGCAGAATTACAGCTATTGACGCAGACTCTGGGAAGAATGGACAGCTATTATATTTCCTTTTGTCTGATGGAAAATTCTTCAAGATGAATCCTAATACAGGTAGCATTTTGTATCTTCCACTCTTTTCTTTTAAAATCAGGATTGAGACAACTCGAATCTTTAGGTATAGCATTAGTGCAAACATACAATTAAAATCACTGTTTTTAATAAATACAGTATTTGATATAGTAGTGTGAGATTTTAAAGTGAAGTAAAAATTGGAATAGAATTTCACCTATAATGATTCCCACTTACCTCATACCTATATATTGCCAGTATATGGTTCTTATTCTGAATTAAAGTGATCGTCTGAACTGTATTGAATACATCTTTATGTAAAGGCTAATTTTTTTCACCAACCATTCTCTTTCACTTGTAGGCTTTTAAATTATGTCAAAACATACTTTACAAAATCTATATGCCATTGATGCAAGACTAGAAATCAATCCATTAGTTAAGATTTCAAAATCACTCTAGGAATATCTGTTCCCATTCTTGGCAAGGGAACCAGGGGGAAAAGGAGAATAATTACAGTGGATTTTTTTGAAGTCTTAATTAAGAAATTAAATATTAAAAGTCATTATAGTTTAAATTATATAAATTTACAAGGATATTATTTAATCCCTACAATGAACTATGTTCATACTTTAAATACATAGCTGGGAAAACTGAGACTCAGCTAAAGTATCATGCCCAAGGTCATGCAGCGAGTAGAAGATAAGGGGAAGCCACCACTTTGTACAGCCTAGGAGGCACCATCTGTGTTATAACCTGTGCAAACGGTGCCACTGCCCTTTGGTGGGACAGAATTTGAACTCAGTTCATATTAACTTCAACCTTTTGCTCTAAAGGCCCTGCTATGTGAATTAGGAGAATGTGCCCCTTCCTCAACAGATGGAGCTTTTCAGCAGGGCACATGGCTTGCCAAGAAGGGCACAATCTGCATTTCTGCTCCCATTCACTCCCTAAGCCGGGACCCCTTCTGCAGGAAACAAACCATGCAGGTATACAAGATGGCCCTGCTTGTTCTTACTTCCATGTGGCTACGTAGTTTTCTAGGTCTTCTATTTTACTTGGTGACTTTTTTTTTTTAATGTTCATACTACAATCAGTCCCCCAATGATTTTCCCTCTTTTACAATTAATCTAGCCCCTAGATTTATTCCTAATTTGTTGTATGGCTTTAAGCAAGTAACTTAAGCTCAGAGCTCAGTTTCCTTACTATGAATAGAAGAGATCATTCCTGACATGCTCTGTGTCATGCTCTGAGAGGCAAAGAGCCGAAGTGTGTGAAGAGGCTTGAGAGACTGTGTGCTTGTCAACCGTTCCTACCCCCAGGAACAGTGTGGCAAGGCAGGGTGGGGGTGTCCTCCACAGCCTGGCAGGCACACCCCCCAACAATCCCTGGCAGGCACACCCCCCCACAATCCCAGTGCTCCGGGCAGTCTTCCTAGTGACAGGGACCCTAGCTCCCATGAACCCTGCCTTGGTGTCACCCACAGCCAGCCCCAGGCTGAGCTGCAGTCTTTTCCACCCCTGACCTCCAAACAGCTGCTGCTTGTCAGTCAGCGTTGGTTCATGAAATAGAAATCTGTTTGCCATTCAGAATTTAAGGTCTTCAGAAAAGAATTACAGTTTGGAACTTTAAAAAATGCAGTTGTGCTGTGATCTTTATTAAAATCTCAGTAAACACTATATAAACAGAGTTTATGCAGTTATAGTAAACACTGCATTTAAGCCCACAAATTCAGCAACTTTACCCAAGTGTGAATTTTCATTCTTGTTCCTCATTTCAGCTTTTTTAAAAAACTCAATGTCATTTTATTTGGATTAAGAGGAAAAAAATTCCTAGCGATAGGAATGTTTGGTGGTAGCAGCTTCATGTTTCTTTCTCACAGGTAAATTTTTTCATGAATGTTGAAGAAACCAATGCTTGGCAGAAGGAGATGGGCTATCAAAGAGAGCACTTGGCTCCCTAAGGCCCTTGGCATTAGGATCTTATGCTTGAATCCATGGCTGACTCATGAGGGAAATTACCAAAGATAGTGCAGTTCTGAGCAAAAATATGTAAAACAAGACTTATAACACATTCAGAGTTATTGAAGAAGTGACTGTCTATCTCCATGCATATATTTCATGAGATAAAAATGAATACATGTATGCATTAAAAATGAACCATTGCCTAAGGAATATTATTTGACCTTCAGGAAGATATTTTTCCATTATTTTAAAATAGTATTAACAACTGTATGTAATAATTACAAAATACTTGTAAATTTATGATTGTACTTGTTCCTGATAGCAGTCCTAGGAGGTAGGCTCAGAGAGGTCGTTACATGTCTAAGATGGCAGAACTGGGACCCAGACCTGGAACTTTTGGTGTCAGAGCTTACAAGATTTCCATTATCTTGTATATCAGCATAAAGAGGGATAAGCAGCAATTTAAAATCTTCTGAATTGTTACTAAGTTTCCTAGAGTTTTAGTCATTTGTTTTTATGAGTTCATGGTTTTTTGTTTTTTGTTTTTAGTTCAAATGGTTGATGGTAGATAATTCAGATTACAAAGAATAACCAATTTGAAGTGGCATTTTCAGGAGCAACTGCAGAAAATTCATTCAACAGTACCATAGAGCCAAACTACTTACTATGTATGTGATCTTGGAAGTCACACTTTGGCTCAAAGCTTTAAGTTTGATTTTGCTTCTGTGACTTGTGTTGGATGTGGTCCATAAGCCAGTATTCTAGAACACAGTGTCTGTGTCTTTTGTTCTACTCTGTGTCCCCAGGCGAGCTGATCAGTTGGGTGGCATTGGATCACGAGCATCAGGTGCACCATGAGATGACTGTGCTAGTGACAGACTGTGGCTCCCCACCGCGAAATGCCACCATGGCGGTTTATGTCTCAGTTACTGACATCAATGATAACAGGCCGTTCTTCCCACAGTATATCCATGGAAAGGAATTGCGTGTCAAGGTTTGTGAAGTAGGCTTGCAATGAATCTGTAGTATCTTCAGTCATTTGTCTTGAGCACCATCTTGTGGTAAAACGTGTGAATTCATCATATCACTGTGGCAAAGCATACATTTCCAGAAGACCTAGAAATTGTGCACATGTTAAAAAAGACATATTTTGGCCGGGCGCTGTGGCTCAGGCCTGTAATCCTAGCTCTTGGGAGGCCGAGGCGGGCGGATTGCTCAAGGTCAGGAGTTCAAAACCAGCCTGAGCAAGAGCGAGACCCCGTCTCTACTATAAACAGAAAGAAATTAATTGGCCAACTGATATATATATATAAAAAATTAGCCGGGCATAGTGGCACATGCCTGTAGTCCCAGCTACTCGGGAGGCTGAGGCAGAAGGATCACTGGAGCCCAGGAGTTTGAGGTTGCTGTGAGCTAGGCTGACGCCACGGCACTCACTCTAGCCTGGACAACAAAGTGAGACTCTGTCTCAAAAAAAAAAAAAAAAGACATATTTTTTAAAAAGGAGATGGATATATGTGCTTTATGATAATGAATGTAGTTTTGCCCACTTTATATAAGCATAATGGTACCTTAGGATCAGTAATGTTCAAACACAGATTGTTTTTCCAGTAGTGTACCTGCATCTCTTTGTGCAGAGCTTCTTATGAGCAATTGTTATCCATATCTAAGATTAGATATTAGATGTTAAATGTGGGGGGAAAATCTATAGCTCCAAAGGAATGGGTGTACATGCAGAGACTGTAAAAGTTGAGTCGTTCCTTTTGAGCACATGCACAAACTTTTGATTGTATTATCTCAACTTTTTCATTTTCACGTTTTTGTATATTTTATAATATACATAATTAATTATATAGTAGTTCATGTACATAATTAAGAAATAAATATATCTTGGTTGTACTCAGAATTTGGAAGCTACTGCTCCAAAACTATTGAATTGGACATTCAAATTCTGCTCAAATATGCATACTGAATGACTTAAAAAAGGTATTGAGGAACTTAACTTTAAACTGATCTTCCAAAGCCAGATTTAATAAAAAATTCTAACAAAGCAAAGATTATCATATTATCATTATGATTTTTTAATCATATCATTAAAATATTCTGTGGCTTAATTGGGCAATTGGACTCTGAACATGAAGTTGAACTTCACATGTGCATTTCAGTATTCCAGGAAAATCCCTGTTAATTAATGAGCTATGTTGCGCATGAGGTATGTTTCTTGAAATGAAGGTTTATATTTAAGTGTATTTTGGACCATAACAACAACCTTTGAAAAAATGTCCTAAGAAGGTAATGAATGAGGATATGCTAGAATTCTTAAAATATACCCAAATCTAAGACCGTTTAGTTAACTTATTTCCTTTTTTTTTTTTTCAAAATTAGCTCACATGCCCCAAATAATTCATTCAAATTGAGTAAAAGGTTTAATTTGTAAGGAGCATTCTTTTCACAGACTTTTACCCATATAACTTTTATAGGGTAGACATTTGGATTGTATGTGGATTTTAAAACAGTTTACGAATGCTTAGTGTAGTGTCTTCTTTTATTTAAAGGTCCATTGATATTTCTTTTTAAACTTTAGCTGACTTATTTGTAAGCCGTTTGTTTTAATGACAGGTTCTGGAAGGTCAACCAGTAAATATGTTGGTTACAACTGTGTTTGCAAAGGATCTTGATGAAGGAAACAATGCAGAAATTATATATTCAGTATCTTCAGGTAAGAGTCACTGTTCATAATTGATTAAGAGCTTTTAGAATTTCCTCTTTCATTTATCAAACATTTCCTTCTGGGAAAATACATTCTATTTTGCTTACTCAGAATGTTCTAGTTAACTTGAAAATAATGTCAAATTACAAGCAAAATACATTTGCTATTGTCAAGAATTACTTTAATTTTTTAAAAAGAATTTAAAAGTTTAATGAAAAATCACAGTAGTTTATGTCCTAAATAGAAACCATCCACTGTAAATGCATAATTTATGGTAATGTGAAGTACAAATTTACTTTATTGAAAGGAAAGTAGTAGTTGGTGGATAAGAAGTGGTGTTAAGTATGATTAAGTGTGCCAAGCATCTATGCATCTTTGTGAAGACTTAAGGTCAGAGTAAATCATATCTAGAAAATGTCACATATGTATAGATGTGTATGTGTATATGGGAACTTTATTGAAATAAGCTTACTTTTATGTTTTCTAATGTGACTAAAAAGGCTAAAAAGGCTTCCTGTTTGTTCCAGTGATTAAATTTAGTTGGCATTGTGTTTTGTGCCATTTTAAAAGACATTTGGTGCTTCATCATATTTGACACAAACATAGGAAAGCAAGAGATAACATTGCCCTTACCTGCAGATAATTTGATTGTCTTCATGGAAAACCCAAGAGATGCCAAAGGCAAACCATTGGAATTAAAAAGATAGCAGATTTTCTGGGAACAATGTCAACATGAAGAATTCACTAGCATTTTTTAAAAATGTAGCAGTTTTTCAACAATCTCATTCATAATAAGGAATTCACAAAACCATAGGGTGTAGGGGCAGATTTACGGTGAAGCTAACAAGGCTTAAGTTTCAGGGTGTTTTACTTAACACAGGCTCCCCTGGGGAAGTGGGCAATTTATATTTATAGTATTGTCCTGTTTTTCTTAAGAAAAGCCCCTCAAATTATGTAAGCTTTAAAACTTTCCAGATAGGATCTGACCCTATTAGGAGCATAGGGAAATTTCCAGAAAAACATGTACAAGACTGTTAAGTCGAAAATTACAAAATATGAAGGGCATAATGAAGGACATAAAAGAATGAAATGAAAAGCTGTGTCATGTCATGCTTGGGAAGGCTTGATATCCTAAAGATGACAATTTTTAACAAGAATATATTTATTAATTCAGCATAATTTCAATCAAAATCTCGGTGAGTTTTTAGTGAAATTTGACAAGCTGATTCTAAAAATCATATGAAGATCAAAAGACAAGGAATAACTAAAACAATGTCCAAAGAATAGGTGAGAAAGTTGCTGCACTAGGTCTTGATTTCTAAAACTTTTTTTTTCTTTTTATATATAAAACTGAACTGTAAAGATTTCTAAAACTTTTGTAAGACACTGTTGTAATTGACTCACTGATTAATAAGTAGACCAGCTGCAGACAGTAGAGATCACCTCACATATTGGGAAATGGCATATAAGAGAGGTGGAAAATAAATGGAGAAAAGATGAACTATGAATATATGATACTGATGTGATTGGTTACCTACATGGAAAAATAAAATTATATCTCTACCTCTCAGCACGTTAAAGATGAGTTTTTTTTATAATGTGAAAATTCTTAATTCTTACAAAAGAAAATATGAAACCGTTTATACAGCATTGAGGATAAAGAAGGACTTTTTTTTTTTTTTTTTTTTTTGAGACAGAGTCTCGCTTTGTTGCCCAGGCTAGAGTGAGTGCCGTGGCGTCAGCCTAGCTCACAGCAACCTCAAACTCCTGGGCTCGAGCGATCCTTCTGCCTCAGCCTCCCGAGTAGCTGGGACTACAGGCATGCGCCACCATGCCCGGCTAATTTTTTATATATATATCAGTTGGCCAATTAATTTCTTTCTATTTATAGTAGAGACGGGGTCTCGCTCTTGCTCAGGCTGCTTTTGAACTCCTGACCTTGAGCAATCCGCCCGCCTCGGCCTCCCAAGAGCTAGGATTACAGGCGTGAGCCACCGCGCCCGGCCAAGAAGGACTTTTAAAGAAGAAGAAAGGCAGAACTCACAAAGAAATAAGCTATGTTAAAATCTAAAACTCTACAAAGATGTCATTGTTTATAATTTTATTAGTCAATTCACAAGTTGGGAGAAGATTGCAACCCATCTAACCAATATAAAATTAGTATTTATATTTTTTAAAGAACTTCTGCAAACCAATAAGAAAAGACAAATAAATAAAAAACTGGACAAAGGATATCAACAGACAATTCAAAGAAAAGAAATAGTAAAAACATTTTAAAACATACTCCTTGGTATAACCACTTTGAAGAACAATGAAGCAGTATCTGATAAAATTAAGGATTGTTTATGCTATGTCCTTGTAATTCCACTTCTGTTACCCTAGAGTAACTCATATATGTGTGTAATGAGACATGTAACAGGATAGTCATTGAAGCCTTGTCTCAATAGCTTTCACAATACAGTATATTCATGTGGAATATTCTACAATTCTACAGTGAAAACAAGTGCACTAGATCTTTTTACACAGCAACATGAATAAATCTTGAAACCAAATGTAAGTGAAAAAGGCAAGTTACAGAAGATAAAAAGAATTCTTCTTCGACAGTGGTTTTGAGTTCAATTTTCATTGGAAAATTTACAGATTGTTCTTCTCATTACCTCCTTGGTCAGGGCAAGTTCTCCTCCTGTGTCTCTATGCCCATACAAGGCATCCTAATTTATTTACCTGTGAACATTTCAGAATTTCTTTCCAAGTTTCCAGAACAATTGAATGGTGGATTATACAGAGGTAATGAACCTGCAGAATTCCACACTGGAGGACAGCTGTTCTTTACTGTTCCTGCTCTCCCCTGCTTCAGACATTCCTTCCCATGCCCAACATCCGTTTTTTTGACCTCCCATTAGTCACCTCTCAACTTTGTCTTTCCATTCTTCTAGCCTATTTCAAATCTGTTCCTAGAGGAGAGGGGGAACTGGCTTTCCAGGCACGCATTTAATAATCTTCCTCTCCTTGTTAAGTCAGTTAGTTTAGTAAGATCTTTGTATTTTTTTCCTGTTTTAAAACAGGTATACCATCCTCTCTTCCTATACACACACACACACACACACACACACACACAAACACACATACCATGGGGTACTAATCTGTTATTTAACTAACAGATTTGCTATCGATTTTGATTATATGCATGAGTATGAATTTATGATATATTTTTTTTGTGTGTGTATTCTCTGTCCACTGAAAAGACCTAGAAATGATGACCACCCCTAACGTCCCACATGTGTTCTTCCAAAACCATTTTCCACCAAAAGGAACCAGGAATCCTTGGAGAAATGGCTGATGCTACATCACAGACAGGAAATATACAAGATGAGTCTGCGCAATTTTGTCATACCAGACGCAAAGAAGCTACAAAAGACTATTAGGATCATGTCAAAAAGACTCACTAAACAACATTGATCCCAATGTTCAGTGACGGGATAATTTGAACCTTGGAAAGGATTTTTATGGCAATACATTGAAACAAATCTAATATATTTAAATTCAGGCTTACTGATTCTTAAAACAAAAACAAGACAAAATGTTACTTCCTATAGTTGGAGCATTGGGGGACATTAGTGAATCAATCCATCAATCGGTTGTCCTGCCTTTCTTGTAATGAACTGTTCCACTGGGTTACCAAAGGTAAATGAGAGGAAGTTTCTCTTTACTGAAATATTTCAGCTAATAAATGAGGAAGGGATGATAAACCAGAATACAGTACATGTTTAATTTCCCTTACCTGAAATGCTTGGGGCCAGGAGTGTTTTGACTTTCAAATTTTTTTTGATAATATTTGCATATACATAATGAGATCTCTTGGGGATGGGACCCAAGTCTAAACACAAAATTCATTCATGTTTTATGTACACCTTGTACACATAGACTGAAGGTAATTTAATATAATATTTTAAATAATTTTGTGCTCAAAGCAAAGTTTTGACTGTGACCTGTCACATGAGGGCAGGTGTGGAATTTTCCACTTGTGATGTCATGACTGTGTTCAAAAATTTCGGATTTTGTAACATTTTGAATTTCAGAATTTTGGATTAGGAATGTTCAACCTGTCTTATACTTTGCAATACTTAATGAATCATTAGAGGATCTAGGCTGTCCATGAATGGAGACCAACATCAAAAACAAAAGGCAGCTAGACATGTGCCTCTGAAGGGGAAAACGTCACTTACAAAGCAGTCTTCCGAAACATTGAACCTGAATCTGATCAATTCTCTAGGTCTGACTCCAGACTTAAGTAAAACATGGAGGACAGAGGAACATATTAAGCTACACATTGGAGATTCAATAAGCAAATCTAGACCAGGGGAAACTTCAGGACATACAACCCAGTTTCTTCAACAAATGAATTTCAAGGACAAAATAAAGAGATGGATGTCTGGAATCCATAGACTGAAGATTTTAGGCACTATATGGATTTTATTTTGATCCTAAATGAGACAAACTAAAAAAAATTTTAAAAGGTCTTTATGAGATGATTGGAAATTTGAAAGCTTACTGGATATTTGCTGATATTAGTGAATCATTATGAATTTTTAAAATATAATATGGTACTGTAATTATGTTAAAATATTCATTATCTTTCAAACATGCATTTTTAAATATATACAGAAGAAATTATATAATTTCTGGAACTTGCTCCAAAAGAAATGGGGAAAGGATATATATAGAAGGGAATGGGGAAGTATATAGAGAGGAAATAAATGAAATAAGATTGGCCATGAATTTATAATTGTTAAAGCTAGATGATGACACATGGAAGTTCATCATCTTATTCTGTCTACTTTTGTTAAATGCTTGAAATTTTTCATAATAAAAGTTTTTAAAAATCTATGTTCTTTGTTTATATTTTTAGTGCCATTTTCCAGAATGTTTCATTCTCTCATAGGGCTCAAGGCAAATAAATCTTCCAAATAATCAGAGATATATTGGATTAATTGACTCTCTTCTCTGCATTGTCAATTAACATTTATTTCTTAATTTTTTCATATGTGTATAGAAGATGGCTCTGATCACTTTAAGGTTGATGCCAACAGTGGGGAAATAAGAACAACCACAATACTTTCATATGATTATAGACCTTCTTATAGAATGACTGTCATTGCCAGTGACCAGGGAGTGCCTCCTCTTCAAGGCCAGGCAGTTATTAATATTCAGGTAATGTCCTTAACATAAAATGTGGAAGGATATTTGGAGGTTTCATTTGACTTTTATACAACTGTATAGAGTGAAGATAAATTCAGCATATAAATACTATTTTTAAGACAGCACACTGTACAGACACATTTGCCTTTTTGATATCACTAGAGAAATGATTTAGATCCAAATTACTTTTAAAATTAGCTTTGGGCCGGGCGCGGTGGCTCACGCCTGTAATCCTAGCTCTCTGGGAGGCCGAGGCGGGCGGATTGCTCAAGGTCAGGAGTTCAAAACCAGCCTGAGCAAGAGCGAGACCCCGTCTCTACTATAAAAATAGAAATAAATTAATTGGCCAACTGATATGTATAAAAAAAAAAAAAATCAGCCGGGCATGGTGGCGCATGCCTGTAGTCCCAGCTACTCGGGAGGCTGAGGCAGAAGGATCGCTCGAGCCCAGGAGTGTGAGGTTGCTGTGAGCTAGGCTGACGCCACGGCACTCACTCTAGCCTGGACAACAAAGCGAGACTCTGTCTCAAAAAAAAAAAAAAAAAAAAAAATAGCTTTGTATTGTTCTGATAAAATATTCATCACTATATGGTAAACAAAAGGTGTCTTTTCTTACACTTAATCCTAATTGTAAGGACCTGATACACTTGTGGGATGTTTGTATGTAAACAAATGGCCACCTAAAAATCACATAGTTTTTGTAATCTTTTTAAACTTAGAAAAGCCTCTTGAGATCCATATTTTAGGGCTTTACTTGAATCATAATGAACAAACAAATGTGGGAAGTCTTCATAGTAGGAAAAAATTACACCAACCACTCAAAAATAAGATGACTGTGCATAGCCATATTTCTTTGTTCATGCACATGGTAATCAGTTGTATTAATAATATACATGTGAAAAAATCAAGGAATATATCCCCAAGAGTTTTTTTTCCATATTATATTCTGTATTGATTAAGAGTATATAGGTTAGGAAAAAAATCTATATGGTCATGCTTCCAGTTTCTTATTTCAGACAAAGACATATGATACTTAAGTGTACGCAGATGTTGTCATTACAGTAATTTGGAGAACTAGCTATCCCACATTCTTATTGCAGAATCACAAGACCACATAACTATAGCACAGCCTCACCAAATTATCATTGCACCCTTTACAGCAAACTGGGAAGTGGAAATTTCTGTAGTTTCTTATCTCCTAAGGATTATGCACTTTTCAATTATCTGAGACATACAAGAATTATACAATATTAAAAAAAGACATTTTCTTAGCAACTAACAAATGTGTATCACACAAATGGAAGGAATTAACTTCCAAAATAATATCATTACATATATTGATTCAACTATTGAAAAAAAAATACCCCAAATTAACAGCTCTTTTTATTCTTATTTCAGGTGATCCCACTATCCAAAGGGACAGCCATCATTTCTCAGAATATTAGACACTTAGTTATACCAGAAAACTTGAAGCCTGCAAAAATAATGAGCTTGATAAAGTCGCCTGATCACCGTCAACAGCATTATAACCGGAAGTTACATTTTAGTATTGTTGCAGATGATAAGGATGGTCACTTTGAAATCGACAGCTTGACAGGAGACTTGTTTCTTTCTAAGGAACTTGATTATGAAACAACCTCTCATTATCTTTTCAGGGTGATTACTGCAGACCATAGCAAAAGTCCTCCCCTGAATAGCACAGTCTTCCTTAGTATTGATGTGGAAGATCAGAATGACCACTCCCCATCTTTCCAGGACGAGTTGATTGTGATAAGCATAGAAGAGAATGTTCCCATAGGAACTCTGGTATACGTCTTCAATGCCAAAGACGGCGACGGCAGCTTTTTGAACAGTAGAATGCAATACTTTGTTGAATCCCACCACCCGGGAGGAATGAATCCATTTCTCATCCACCCCTCCTTTGGTACATTAGTCACTGCATCCCCCCTTGACAGAGAAAGCGTCCCAGCCGTCATCCTGACCGTAACTGCGTCTGACCAGGCCGTGAATGTGACAGACCGGCGACTGAGATCGCTGATGGCAAAAGTAGTGATTTTGGATGTGAACGACCACAGCCCCACTTTCACGTCTTTCCCCATCGCCCGTGTCAAAGAGGATGTCATGGTGGGCTCCTTGGTGCACCATATAACGGCTCAAGATCCAGACGAAGGGAGGAATGGAAAAGTAACATACAGCATCCTCTCTGGGAATGAAAACATGGCCTTTACGCTAGACGAGTCATCAGGTACAGTGCCCTATACACCACCTTTTAAAATTTTTGATTTAATTTTATTGTTGGTAAGACAACTTAATATGATACCTACCCTCATAACAGAGTTGTAAGTGTAATACATTATCGTTCACTCTGGGCACAGTGTTGAACAGCAGATCTCTGGAGCTTATTCATCTTGCTTCATTGAAACTTTAGTTTCTCCCCATTTTCTCCTCTATCTCGCCCCTGAAAACCACCATTCCATTCTTCGATTCCATGAATCTATTTTAGATACCTCATATAAGTGGAATCATGTAGTATTTGTCTTTCTGTGATTTGCTTATTTTATTTAGCATAATGTCCTCAAGGCTAATCGCAGAATATCTTTCGTTTTTAAGGCTGAATAATATTCCATTGTGTGTCTCTACCGCATTTTCTTTAAATCCATTCATCTTCTGATGGACATTTAGGTTGTTTCCACATCTTCGCTATAGTGAATGGTGCTGCAGTGAACATGGGAGTGCCACAGTCTCTTCAAGATCTTGATATCAATTCTTTTGGATATATACCCAGAGGTGGAGTTGTTGGGTCATATGATTGTCTTATTTTTTAATTTTTTGAGGAACCTTCATACTATTTTCCATAGTGGCTGCAACATTTTGCATTCCCACAAACATTGTACAGGGTTTCAATTTCTCCACATCCTTGACAGCACTTGTTGTCTTCTGTTTTTTTTTTAATAATAACCATTTTGACAATTGTAAGCAATATCTTGTGATTTTTATTTGCATTTATCTGATGATTAGTGACATTGAGCATTTTTTCATATACCTGTTGGCCATTTGTATATCATTTTTGGAAAAGTGTCTATTCAAGTTCTTTGTCCATTTTTAATTAGGTTATCTTGTTTTCCTTGTTTAGTTGCAGGAGTTCTTTATATATTCTGGATATTAACCCCTCATCAGCTGTATGGTTTGCAAATATTTCCCCCATTCTTTAATTGCCTTTTACTTTGCTGTGCAGAAGCTTCTTAATTTGGATATAGTCCCACTCACTTATATTTGTTTTTGTAGCCTGTGCTTTTGTCGTCAGATCCGTGAAATTATTGCCAAGACCAATGTCACAAAGCTTTTCCCCATGTTTTCTTCTAGGACTTTTATAGTTTTGAATCTTAACGTTTAAGCCTTTAATCCATTTTAAATATGGTATAAGATAAGAGTCCAACGTCATTCTTTTGCATATGGATATCCAATTTTTCCAAACCATTTGTTGAAGACACTATCTTTTTCATTGTGTGTATTCCTGGCAATCTTGTCCAAGATCAGTTTACCGTATATTTGCAGATTTATTTCTAGGCACTCTACTTTATTCCATTGGTCTATATGTCTGTTCTTATACCATACTCTTTTGATTACTGTAGCTTTGTAATATGTTTTGAAGTCAGGAAATATGATGCCTCCAGCTTTGTTTTTCTTTCTCAAGATTATTTTGACTATTTGGGGTCTTTCAAGATTCCATATGAATTTCAGAATTGTTCTGTTTCTGAAAAAAATGCCATTGGAATTTTAGTAGGAATTGCATGGAAATTGTAGATCACTTGAGTAGTATGAATAATTTAACAACATTAGGTCTTTTACTCTCTAAACATGGGATGTCTTTCCATTTGGTTGTGGCATCTTTAATTTTTTTCATCAAATATTTTGTGGTTTTCAGTATGTAAGGTAGTCACCTCTTTAGTTAAGCTTACTTATAAGTACTTTATTTTTTTTGGTGTTATGTTATGTTATGTTATGTTATGTTATGTTATGTTATGTTATGTCATGTTATTTATTTTTGAGACAGAGTCTTGCTCTGTTGCCCAGGCTAGAGTGTCATGGCATCAGCCTGGCTCACAGCAACCTCAAACTTGTGGGCTCAAGCGATTCCTGCCTCAGTCTCCTGAGTATGAGTAGCTGAGACTACAGGCGTATGCCACCACACCTGGCAAATTTTTTCTATTTTTAGTTGCCCAGTTAATTTCTTTTTACTTTTAGTAGAGATGGGGCCTCACTCTTGCTGAGGCTGGTCTCTAACTTCTGACCTCAAGTGATCCTCCCACCTTGGCCTCCCAGAGTGCTAGGATTATAGGCATGAGCCACCATTATTATAAATTTAGTTGTTTTCCTAATTTATTTTTTAGATAGTTCCATGTTAGTGTATAGAAATGCAACTAATTTTTGTATGATGATTTTATATCTTGCTTCTTTACTGAATTTATTGGTTCTAAAAGTTTTTGGATGGAGTTTTAGGGTTTTCTATATGTAAGATCATGTCATCTGCAAAACAGGGATAATTTTACTTCTTCCTTTCTGATTTGGGTGTCTTTTATTTTATTTTTTCTGTCATTTTCAATTAAAGCCTCTTATCACTTGATTACATTTATCCTTTTCATTTTTTCTTCTTAAAATGATAGCTCTCAAAGTGCACATGCTTTAAACAATTTTGACTTGTTATGTTGTTTATATATATATATATATATATATATATGATAGGCACAAAGGTTGTATTTAGAGAACCACCTTTACATGGACTATGTATTAATGTTAACTATTCTCTGTAGCTAGCTCACATTTTATGAGATGAATATACAATAGCAAACTTCTTTGTCCTTATTGTGGGTTCTTGCAGGGTAGGAAATGATACCAAGAGTGAATCAAGGTAGGAACATGACGAATTGGCAGCAGCTGTCAAAGACTCTGCTATGGAAAGTTATCTTTAAGACCATATGAACATGTGTTTGTAAATAGTTAGAAATAATATATATTTTTAATGATTGAATTCATTGGGACATTAAGATCCTTGCTTTTCACATCAATTGTAAGATTTATTTTTTGCAGAAGCATTTATTTGCAGTCAGGTACTCTACAGAAATGTCACTCACTCTCAGTGCATTTGTCTTGCTTTCCTTGTTGCCAGATAATTGACTATACGTTTTTATGTAGTTTAATGGAAGAGTATATGTTAAAAAAAAAGCTACAGTTTTGTGAATTTAGAAATGAACTTTCCTCTACTTGATTTTCAGGGTATATTGAAAAATTAATGAGCTATCATCTTGTCCTCTAAAAAATAAAGGCATTTATACATGAGCCTTAGGAAAAAAATCTCAGATATATACCCCTTGGCCCAACTGTTAGTAAGAGCATTATTTGGAATGGAACTGAATGTGGGGGATTTGGAAGTCATGATTATAGGCTATATTCTGTTGGAAAATTTCATCAAAATATTTATTAAATTCTGTACATATGGTTTCATTCTGAGGCATGCATGGACACCACCTTAATGCCCAGCTGACAGAGAGATAGTCCAGACACAGTCTGCTGATATCTGTTAGAGCTGAGGCTCTCCAAGGACCTGTTTCAATAATACTTAAAATATTTTCCAAGATGGCTAAAGAGGGTCTACTTCAGATTGTTAAAAAGGACGAATAAAATTAGAATTGTGTCTCAGTAATATGAGTATCATGAATCTTTGGAGGAATTACAGTGACTATTTCAGTTGAGACGTTTTTCAAAGACATAAAATGATAATTGCCAAATGCATTCATATGAGAAGGGATCATTTTTCCTCTCACCAGGCTCATATTTCTTATAAGGAGGACATAGTGAGTTTTCCAGTGACTCATGGCTATGAGATATACAGTGATGAGTAATTATTTAAAAATTATGTTATAAAGTCTGATTCAGTAAACTTCTTTAATTATTTCAAGAAAAGTTCTTCTAGGATAAAAGAAGCAAACAGCAATCCTAAAGGGAAAAGGTGACAATTGGAATCATACAATGGCTATCTGTGTGCAGATCTTTATTGTGATTTACTTATATGAGTTATATGCTTAAACGGCAGTGGGATACAGACATGTTTTACTCATGAAGTTTATTGTATGGGTTATAACATCTTTGTTCTTTATTGTTCAAAAGACAACTGAGAGTGAGTACAAAGAAACTGTGACTCTTTAACAAAAATCAAATGTCTTAAAGAATGGAACCATACTTTACATTTTTGAGACTTGGTTACTTTTAAACATGAGGTGTTTTATGACGTGAAGATGTATGACATTTTTTTAATGCAGGTAGATGTTGGGTAGATAAATAATTTTGATGTTGTCCTCTCAGTGCATGATGGTATATGATAGATTAATTTTGAATTGTCATTCATCTTTCTGGTTTAAATTGGGATGACTCTTGTGACTAAAAGTGTTCACTTTTTATTCTAGATAATATATACATTTAAAGTTGGTTTAACACAATTTATTCTTTAACAATTAAAACGTCTGAATTGTTGTCAAGTAAGATTAGTTAGACGTAGGTGTAACAAGCATGACTTCTCTAAAGGGCGTTCATTATGTGTTGCTTTTCTTCTCTTTCAAAACAGGCTTGCTAACTACAACTTGTCCTTTGGATTATGAAATAAAAACTCAGCATGTTCTGACTCTTCTAGCGCTGGATGGTGGCGTACCAGCCCTTTCTTCATCCCAGACTCTGATGGTTACCGTGCTCGATGTCAATGACGAGGTGCCGGTGTTTAAGCAGCACCTGTACAAAGCTTCAGTTAAAGAAAACCGAAATCCAGGGGAGTTTGTCACAAGGGTTGAAGCTGTGGACAGAGATTCGGGTAATTTAAAAATACGGAAACTAGGTATTTTATGTTAAAAAGAAAAAACCCACTCAAAGATTATAACTGACATAATTTAAAATAGCTATGGGGCCAGACAAAATGAATGAGTGCTAGCCGTCTCAAACTTCTAATACTTCTTTCATTTGCATACACATACAACACATATGCATGTAAAGGTAATACATATCACATTATATATTAATATCATGGCATTTGCTGTATTGATCTTTATTATTATTATTAGAGTGATACACACCTAATTAATGTACAATTTATTGATTTAATCTTGATAGTAATAATATACAGAAGTATAGACAAAGCATCACCTTTCTTTCAGAGGGTAATAGTTAGATACATTGAGTACAAAAAGATAAATGGTTCTTTATTTCCTCTATAAGTAGCATACCAGAAGAGCTGTGGTGCCGGGATCAGACGGCCTGGGTGTGGACCGTAGAACTACCCCCTACTTAACCTATGTAACCTTGAACAAGTTACTAATCCTCTCTGTTCCTTGGCTTATCTGTAAAATGGGAATAATAACCATGCCTAATTTGTAGTTCTGTCATGAGTATGAATGAGTTATCACATGTAAAGAGCTTAGGCCAGTGTCTGGCACAATAAGTGGTCAATAAATGTTATCTTCCGTCATTACTGTTATCATCATTATTATTTATATCAACCACTGTGTACAGATGAATGACGTTGGGGTGAACAGTTACTGTGGCTAAGAATTTATAAATTTCTTAAACTCTCTTTTTAACATCACTATGGCGATTTTGGCATTAAGGTTCAGTAACTTTAATAATATTCTATTTTTATTTTAAACAAAATAATTATAAAAATTACAGTGCCATGTTTCCTATTAATAGCATATGCTGCATTTTTCCATATGAATTAATAGGACTAGTTGAATAATCCAGACTTTTAAAATATGTATATAGCAAGTGGCATTATGTATCAATATAATGTTTTGTTCTATTTCTGCAAGAATTGTAATAGATGTTTTTTATGGAAATTATAGGATTAATAATACTATTTTAGTTAATCGTTAATCAAGGGGACAAAAGAGACATTTACTTGAGCTTCTAAACTGATTATAGACCATTTGAATGCCTTGTCATTTTGGAAAACATTATCTTTTAATGAGACGTACTTTATGTGAATTTGTATGTGATGCTACACTTTCTTTTCAAGGGCTAACCTAATTTTCTCTCTTTTGACCAGAGCGGGGCAGTACTATCAAAGAGTTTTTCTTTCTAAGCTCAAAGACATTGAGACTGAAGCATGCTAACAATTGTTTGTTCCAATTTGTGCTTAGAGAATTTACTTAGCACATTTCTGGCAGTATTCATTTTTAGAGTGTTAGAAACAATGAAAAGTATACATGAGCTTTGTGTTTCACAGTAATTCCAGTTCAGTTAAGTTCTGCTAGAGTGTTTTCTATTGTAAACAGAGCAATACGGGGCTCTAGGCAACACAAAAACCACTTCCCAAAATATACAAACACGTACTGAATCTATTGCTGATGTTTTATGATTTAGCAATCACTAAGGTACGTAAAATGTGTCTTCCTCTTGCTCTCACTTTATTTTACGAATTTTATTTTATTTCATTTTTTTTTTGTAATTGACACTATTGAGTGTATTTCTTTGGCTTTAATGTTTGAAAAGGGAGAAAAAAATTTCCCTTAAATTTCTGTGCATATCAGCTAAATATGATTACCATAAATATACTCTTCTGATTTCTACTGTCAAGTTGCCCAGTGTTAGTGTTATTTTCTTCCAGAACGAGTAGTCTGCAACCTGTCCATTGTAATTGAATTGGAAGTTTATTATTCTAGAGATTATAGTTTGCCAACTAAGATTTAGATGCAAAATTATAATTTTTTGGCTTTGCATTAATCGATGCTTGAATCCATATTAACCTCTTCATGAGCTTCATGTGTCCTTACATGGTTTGGAGACAATTTGATTTACTGGAAACTCAGTGTTTTTAATGAGCCCAGATCTGTTAAGCAAGTGGTTATGTAAATACATGTGAGTATTTGTGTGTATGCATGTGCTTTTGAATATATTTTTACTCAGTCTTGTTTTTTCGTTTTGCTTCTTGGGTTAAAACAATGAAATAGGATTATGCATGAGAATTAAATGACATAGTCAAGATTTTAACATCACATTGGAATTTATGAATGGTTTACTTAATAGTATGTATTTTTAAAAAAACCTATAGCATTACTTAATACTAGAGAGCTTAACATATGTTTTCTGGCATTCTACAATGCAGTTTTTAAAAATGTAAGTGTACAGTGTTTGGCATTCAAAACCCCCAGGGATTTGAGCACTGAATGTTTATGGTGTATGACTCACACTAGTTCTAACAGGAGTTTCTTCTTATATTAAAAGGAAAAAACAACTACCAGATTTTAACTAAGGTATTAAAACTGTTACAGCATTTGGTGCCACCAACAAGAGCTCTATTGTTAGTGAAAAAAGATCTACCCCTGCTGGGCCCCTCCCCCACTCCCAGGAGGAAAGGGTGCCCCACCCGGGAAGACCACGAACATTTGCTCCACAGTGTGGAACACAAAATAATTTAACGGTGCATTGCCATACAGAAATATAGGATTAGTTAAAGTGATGTTGTTCTCTATTCCATAAATATGGATTCTCTATCTGGGGTCATCTTGAATAAACTGTACATCTGATTTTCTGGAATCCCTCATGCTACGCTAGATGTACAATTTCCCCCTCCAGGTCTACACTTGGAGCCAAGGAGAAACACAGTATCTCATAAATCTAAGACACCGTTAATTGTAAGATGCATCTAATTTCAGAAATGTTAAAATGTGGGGGAAAAAAACGTGTCTTAGAATTAATGAAATATGGGAAATAGGGGTTCATTGCCTTAGTCTTTGGAATACTTCTACTAGGCTGATAGCTTTATCCTCCTGGGAAGTTATATGGCACCATTCTGTACACCCTTTAGAAGGACAGTTATTTGCGTATATACCGAAGAATAAAGAAATACAGATGCTAAAATATCCCAATGTATAGCATTTTGTAATAATAATTTCTCATTCTAGTAGACACACTAGTTGGTCATTCAGCTTTTTAAAAATCAATTTCTACATAGAATGATGTTTCCCCGCCATCTACTCAGGAAAAACACCCATCCACTCTCCCTGTGTGTGTTATTAGTAGTTATTCACTGACAGCTCCCTCATTCTTTCACCAATGGCATTTGCCCACAGTTTTAGATTCATCCGAGTCAATCTAGGAGAGTATAAGGAGTTCCATAGAATTCATGTCCAAGTAGGTCTTACTGACTTTGTGCCCAAATTCTAGCAACTTTGATTAGCCCAAAGTCCTAAGAGATGGATTTAAAGTTGGGTTAGAGCACCGGGTATTTCAAAATTTGAATTTCCCAATCTGAGGCCACTGGGAAATTTGCCTGAAAAAGTCACAATGGCAGGCTAATTGAAGCCACCACCTATTTAGGCTGTAGTGCTTCTGCTAATTCCTTAGTGCTAGTTTGCTTGCCTTTTGTAGATATCTGGTTGGCCTTCTTTATATAAATTTTCTCCATATAAATTCTTATTATAAATACATTTGAAGAAAGTTACAAAAATAGACAAAAAACAATAAGGACCAATCATAACCTCATTCATGCTAGAGACAATCACTGTTAAAACTTTGGTGTATATTTGTATAACATTTAATATACACCATTATAATATTATAATTATTTACTTGTCTGCTTCCCTTGCAGTCTGTGAACTTCTCCTAGAGCCAGGATATTTTATGTACTTTCATCCCAGGTCATTAAGATAGTATAATATATGACTTATAAACTCAATAGATATTTTGGACCAAAAAGTCTGAGAAACTAAAGCTTGTGTGACATAAGACATAACCTGCCTCAAGCTGTCCTTACTCTTTGGAAATTCATACACTAGGATAGGGCTCTGCAAAACTATTTCCTATAAATTTAGATAGCAAATATTTTAGGCATTGCAGGCTACACAGTCTCTTTTGCTCAACTCTAACATCGTAGCAAGACAGCAGCCATACAAAACACATAAAAGAATGTGTTCCACTGAAACTTTACAAAAGCAGGGAGTGGGCCAGATACGACCACTGGGCTGTAGTTTGCCAATCCCTAGTCTAACGCATATGTGCAATTAAGATATCTAAGTTACTTGCTACCTTATGTTCATCAGATCCAATTATCTTGACATCCTTAAAGTAGTGGATCAATCAATGTTCTATTGAATGCCTAGATGATCCATATCTCTGTTTAGTAAATGATGGTTAACAGTGGAATAGTTTGCATAAAGATGTACTGTTGTTCCTGCTGGAAACAGAAAGCAAATGACTTCTGTTAGTCTTTACAAATTGGTAAGGACTGTTGGTTCTCAAAGGTGGTCCCCAGGAGTAGTGGTACCATCATCTATCCACAGCCTACAGAGGGCAACTCCCATAGAGTTTTTAAAAGATGCTGGCGGCCCTCTAACATCTTTTCCAGTGTCCTTAGGAAAGGAGGGTCCTCTGAACTCCTGGGAAGTGCAGTGAGGGGAGGGTGGTAAGCATGTCATACATGGTAAATCCATCCCAATATTCCTATTTCCTTGAACTTTGCATTTTTTACTCTTTTTTACTTTCTTATGCGAGAAAAAAATCTGCTGTCTCAACCTCAATGATTATAGGCCACTGTTGAATCCAACCAACCAAACTGTCAAGAGACACAACTCTATGAGCTAACACGTTAAATTCAGACTCTCCATTAAACATAGTCTATCACTAAATCCATCCTAAACCAATGTTCTGTTTTATCTTCCTGGGTCTCACATCCTTACAATTGATTTCCACACATATTTCCCAGGGTTATGCCAAAATTTTGCTATTCTTTTGAAATTATAAGTGACCTCTGACTGAGTCTGATTTATACTACCTACAATATGTTGGAATCTGAGTCTGGTTATGCAAGGTGAACAGACATCTCCCTGCCAGGTACCTGCTTTATCTGCCACTCAGTTTGGGTCTGATCTTCTGGAAGATTAACATTAAGGCTCCCATAGAAGTTTCAGGTTTTCTAACTACAACTTGAACTCAAGTTTAAAGCCTCAGCTTGTAATTTTCTTTTTACAGTTCCTACTACCAGGAAAAGCAATCTTCATGACATGTTCCTTTCTACTATTATGGGATCAAAGTCAGCACTATTTGATTCTCTTGGGAATTTGAATCCTTTAATAGTCACTTCATCACAATCACACACTGTTGATAATTTAGTTAATCAGGATATCACCCCAAATGTTGAATGACTAGTATTCCATTTCCCATGATCAAGGAACTTAGCACTGCGTTCAAGGCCAAAGACATAACCAAACTGATGCCAGAGTCCCCTATTACTTGAGACCCACTCCTGGTGCCCAACACTCTATCCATCACCGTCAGTCAGGAAGACTAGATGCTAATATAGGTGTTGGATGGCTAAGTAAGCAAAAAGGGAATACTGAGGTAGTAAAAAATAGCTTGAGGAAGCAGCTACCATCCCTAATGCTGGGAAACAGGAGAAGAGGATTATCAAACCCAGGAAGCAAACAAGAGAAGGGGCCCTGCAGAACCTGGTCCTGGGAGAGGCAAAAGAGACTGAATAGCAGTGCCGATAGGGACAGTGAAACATAAGGCAGTCCCCTTTCCTCTCCTTCTGACTTTCACTCTCCTGCTAGCGTCCCTTTGTGGCAGACCCTGGCAGGGAGTTGGGGGCAATGAGAACTGGGCTTTGTGGGTCCCCAGCCTCCCATCACAGGGCAGGGTGTAGAAGAAGGGATTTAGATTTAGACACGATAGTTTAATATCATAACTAGCACCCATGTAAAAAGCAGCACAGGGAGTAGCAGAGGGAATGGCAACTGCAGGAGCCCCAGCAGCAAGAAACTTAGTGTGTTCAGAGGACAGCAGGGTGGCCCGTGGGCCAGGAATCTGCTGGGGGAGTGAGTCCATGGGGAGAGGTCTGGGAGATCAGCAGAGCCCACTGCACGTGGGACTTTGTGGACCGTGGTGAGGTATTTGGATTTTATTTTGAATGTATTCAAACACTCTTTCTTTCTTCTTATCTGTTAAGTCTTACTCACCTTTAGGGTGTCAGGTTATGCAGAAGGCAGTCATCATGGCTTACCGTGTGGCATTGTACGTGCCAGCTCGCTTATCTGTACCCAATGCTATACAGTATACACCCTGAGGGTAGAGAATTTGTCTTTTTACTAGCAGTTGAGCTCTTAGCACCTGGCATGATACTTTGGCACCTAATATCACTCTCTATATATTTATTGAACAAGATCATCAGTGAACAGCTACGTAGGATAAGTCTTCCCTGATCCACCTCCTCGTTGATTTCATATATTCTATAACTTTCTCTCCCACTAAAGGGGAACTCTGAGAACCAAGATAATAATTCAATGATAACTTTCCAGTACCTGACACTCAGTATATGTGCATTGCATAAATGAACACACAAATGAATAATTAGTGAATGAATGAATGACACAACCAAACAAATGACTGGAGTTCAGTGCATATAACTGGGTGTTATCTGTCTATGGGTGCAAAGTGAGGCCATGAAAGTAGAGAGTGAGATGACAGTGAAGTGACAGCCAGCAGGCCAGTTATCAGTACATCCCACTCCAGGAAGCAGGAGAAAAAAATGTCACAGAAAAAACAAAAATAACAGTATTCTTTTTCTTTTATATATTTTTTTACTCCTCCCTCCCTCTCCTCTTTACTCCCTCCCTCTTTTCATTTGTTCCTTTCTTTCTTACTTTCTGTCTTTATTTAACAGAAAAGAATTGGTAAGAATTAGAAATGGCCAGTAGATTTTATAACCAGAAGGTCACTGTAGGAAGAGTTATCTGGGAGTGGCAGTGGTTTGAAGCTAGCTGCAGAAATTGGATAGCACTTTTTATAGAAATTTGGCTATAAAGAGAGGGATAAAAAGCTTAATTCTTATAGCTAGAAAAGAATATAATTTAAGGAAAAAAATTTAGGAGAAAGACTAGAACAGACAGGAAAATTCCAAGAGAGTGTATTTGAAAAGTTACCTTGGCCATTCAGACAGAAAGCAGGCGGTAGAGTTTTTTAATTTATTTTTTACTTTTCTTTTCTTTTTCTTTTTCTTTCTTTCTTTCTTTTTTTTTTTTTTTTTTTTTGATGCAAAATAATACCCAGAGAGTAGAGTTGAATACAGACGCAGAGGGCAAGGGAGTTCTTCCCTGATGTCTCCTTCCTCTTTGGGAAAGAGAAAGGGAAGTAATGTGTGAGAGCAAGCTGGGAGGTGGTCGGGTAGGTGACCTGAATGGGAGAAGGGTGACCAATGAGATGTGGAAAGATGGCCAGATGACAGTGGCATTTCTGTGGCCTCAATCCATGCTGCTATGAAATTTTCTCCAGGCCCCGTCGTCTGTTAGGTATTCAAGGGGAGCAGAGAGATGGTTGGCATGATCCTGGGCTGAGGCTCTGCTGGGTGTCTTTGGTAGAAAGCCACAGAACCTGGAAAATGTGCAGGGTTGCTGCAGTGGGAGCTCACGGACTGGACTGGACTGGAGAGGGAAAGAAATGAACTGAGGAGGGGAATCCTAGAGTAGGAGAGGGGACTGCAGGCTTCGAGGTCTAAGAGCAGATATGTGTAGGTGTGCATTCACACAGATGTGCACGTACATAGGGACACACACACCTTCAGGAGGATGTCCTCATGAGGGTATCACTAACTTCACATCCAGATTTCCAGTTTGTGTAGTGAAGACATGGAATGAGACTAAGCCATCCTTTTTAATTTTTGTTTTCTTAGTTCTCCAGTTTGATGGTGCTGTGTTTGTTCTGGAGGATTATAAGAGTGTGAGGAGGGGGAAGCAAGGTGCTAACTAAATTCTAAACGAGTCATAGTCAAATAATTTAAATTTAGTTTCTATTATCTAAGATGTACAGGGTAGGAAGTTTGAAAAATGCATGTGTACAAACTACAATGATAAGTAAAGATCTCATTTATCTTTAATAATATACTAGGAGGATTTAAGGTGAGTGGATTGTTATTTTAGTGATAAAAGCTATAGAGAATAATAGAATGATAAGATCTATAAGTTTCTACAAAGTCAGAGGAATACTGAGGACAGTGGTAAAGCACATTAGAGGATAATGGGAACAGTGGGAGAAAGAGAAAGTACAAAGATTTGAGCTTATGTTTAAACATTGGAAGACATTTTCTAGGCTTGACAAATGTTGAGAATTAAAAAGGTATAATATGTACTATTATGTAATATATAATGCAATATGTAATATGCAATAATATGTACAATGTATAATAAAATCACACAGCAAATGAGTGAGTTTATTAAAGGTTGAAAGGACCACATCATGTAAGCTCTGTGAAGGCACAGCCATGTCTGGGTCACCTCTCTGTCTTTGACATATGGCATTGTGCCTGACACCTGACATTGCTCACTTCCCCGGAGGTAAAGGAAAATTAATGTAAGAGGGTATTGTTTGTGTTTTTATGACGTAGGCAGAGATAGACAGGAAAAATAACTTTTAACAACCTAAAATTTTTAGAAATTCTGTCTTTGCTATAGAATAGACTATGTGATCATTATGTGACCACAATAGTTCTTTAATAATGATCAGTAACTTAATAATATGCCTAGTTGCCTAATGATAAAATTAAACATTTTTGTGACCTCTGATATCTCATATCAAATATATTGATTCTATGTTATTAGACTTTTTTCTCAAGGTCATTAAAATGCCTGCAGATTATATCTATTACATCTCAAATATATTTCTCCTCCAAGAGATATAGTAAGAGGACACGTTCATTCATTCTTATATAAAACTAGAATTATATTCTACTCTTTCCAGCACTCAGTCCTATATCATAGGCACTAGAATACAATGGAATTAAAATTTACTTTTTAAGACTGGGGAGATGGACATTTGTAATTGAAATTTTTTTAGGGCCAAAAGAATGGTATTTTATCTTTTATTAAAGCATAACACCATATAATTGGAGTACTCTATCTATACCTAGATTCTTGTCAGTTAAGAAAAGAACATAGGGAAATGATTGAAAGGAACTTGTGTAAAATGCAAATAAACTACAATGGTGTGGAATAAACTCATTAAAGTTAATGGTATGAATGATCTTCATAACCAATGATGGAAATGAGGTGATACTTTTCTCAGGGGAGAAATGAAACCCAAAAAATATGGGAAGAATTATTTTCAAAATGCGTAATAATGTGGTACCACATTTCTCACTCCAGATAGGAGAATGAATACAAAGTGAAAAGCAAAACAAAACAAAACACACACATAAGCAACTCTATGTGCTTGCCTCTATATAATGGAGCCCAAGCTTTTAAAGAGAGGGTCAATCTACAGAAATTGTCATTTGTCCTGCAAGCTTACAATTATGTCATTAAATCACAATCAGGGGTGTTAGAAGGAGTAATTAGGAATATGTTGTAGAGTTGCACACTCATAAGAAATTTTTTATGGGAAGGAAAAAATCCTAAGCATTCACTGTGGGGAAGTCTCATAAGACTTTTGAAAATCAAACATTTTGCCCCATGAGGCTTTTATTTAGCAAGAACAGTCCAGAATGTTTTTCTTTTACCTTAATTTGAAGGCTGTTTAAGAGTTTTGCCTGTTTCATCCATGGCAAAACATGTTCAAAGGCAAAAGAATAGGAAAATGGATGAATAGATTCCAAAGGGGTAACTGATAAGTTTTTCTTTATATTTTCCTTAAGGAATCAATTCCAAGCTTCAGTTTGAAATCATGCCAGGTGCTTCATTTGAGTTATTCAAGATAAATTCCGACACTGGAGAGGTAGTGACGGCCACCATGCTTGATAGAGAAGTTCAAGAAATCTTCACCCTTAGAGGTAAGGGATCCTTTTTATTTATTTATTTATTTATTTATTTATTTATTTATTTATTTATTTATTTATTTAGAGACAGAGTCTCACTTTGTTGCCCAGGCTAGAGTGAGTGCCGTGGCTTCAGCCTCGCTCACAGCAACCTCAAACTCCTGGGCTCAAGCGATCCTCCTGCCTCAGCCTCCCGAATGGCTGGGACTACAGGCATGCGCCACCATGCCTGGCTTATTTTTTCTATATATATTAGTTGGCCAATTAATTTCTTTCTATTTATAGTAGAGACGGGGTCTCGCTCTTGCTCAGGCTGGTTTTGAACTCCTGACCTTGAGCAATCCGCCCGCCTCGGCCTCCCAGAGTGCTAGGATGGTAAGGGATCCTTTACGCTTAAAAAAAGTGGTGAAATTTTACATTTCAGTAAGATGTCTTTAAATAGAATATTATTGACCCAGTGCTACATGATTAGTATAGTCTGATTCTGTCTGGTTAGAACAATGTATTTTAGGTATGAATTCCAGGGCACAATTCACGCCGTCTTTGTGTTCCACGTCAGTACTTGTTCGAGATGGGGGCGTCCCTTCGCTCTCCAGCACCGCAACAGTTCTCTGCACTGTCGAAGATGAAAATGATCATGCACCAGAGTTTATTGTCCCCAGTCATGACCTTGAGATTCTGGAAAACCAAGAGCCACAGGTTGTCTATACTGTTTTGGCCTCAGATATGGATGCTGGCAATAACAAAGCCGTTAAATATTATATCATCGGTAAGTATTTTTTTAATTAAAATTTTCCCCAGGATTCCCACATATACTATCTGCCAATTATTATGCATTTGATAACTGTTGCCTTTTCCTACAAAATACGGACCCAGTAAGAGCTGACGGGTGCCGTGTGCTTCCTGCCTACCTCCTTCCCAAAGCCCTCCTGAACCACTGCCCTCCAAATTTAAAAGAAATCTGCTATTGCTAACTCCTGTGGATTTCCCCCCATACTGACCTTAATGGATGTACAGAAAGAAAAGATAGCTTTTTTCTTTCTATTTTTGTTTCTGTCATATGAGCAGACTTTATGTGCTTTTTAATTTTTCTTTCTGTATACACATATGCTCTTACTGGGTCATTTCACCCAGTCCCTGCTGCAGCTTGTTCTAAAATGTTTTAAAAATGCCAGTTTTCCACTGGCATTAAAGCCAGTCACTGTTTCAACATTGAACACCAATACTGGGAATGACCCCTGTATTTGGCAGCCATTTATGTGGGTGAGAGGTTGGCATTTCTTTTCTAATTTGCAAGGATGATTATAAAGGTGGATATGAGAAAGGTAAATCCCATGATCCAAGGAGAGTTCTTAGGCAGAATAATTTTAGGAATAAGGTTATTTAAACTGAACTTCTGAAAATTACCATTAAACTACCTGTTCCCAGGTGAACTCCTTGAAAAGCTTCGTGTAACCCCAGCTGTACTCAGACCTCATTTTAAAGATGACTGGTCTAAACACCCTTCGCTCATTCTCCTAAGCCAGAGCATGAATCTTTTATCCCTAACTCCTTATTTTTCTCCCTTCATATTTTTGGAACATGTCCACTTCCTGTATACACATATGATTTCATAATCTCTTTGTTGCTCAAGTAGATTACTATGACAGCTTCCTAACCTTCCCATTTTCTAATCCAGCTTTGACATTGTTGCTTCAGCCCTGTTCCTATAACAGAAATTCGATTCATGGCACTTTCCTGTCAAAAATGCTTTGGGGGTTCCTCTATAGATTGCAGGAGAAAGTAGAGAGTCTTCAGCAGTACACACAAACCCCTTCCTGATTTGACCTTTGCTTGCCTCTCAAATGCATGTCTTCTCTCTGCCACCACTGCAAATCCTGTCCCTACCCTGTTAGGGTTAGGGGATCTGCAGGGAACCCTAACCCTGTACACGAGTCACATCAGAACATTTGCAGCCTATTAATTTCTTACATTCCTGAGACTTCATACAGGCTCTTTCCTCTGCATAGAACACTCTCTCCAAAACTTGGATTCTGGTTTTCTTCCCTTTAAGAGTGAGTTTTGCTGTCACTTTTTCTAATAAGCATTTCCTGGCCATCCTAGCACAGGATGGGCTTCTTTCCTCTGTGCTTCCCATCACTCTGCACGAGAGATTTTCACACCGTACATTAATGTGTTGAGTGCCCACCAGCCTTTCCTCCTAGGTTGAAAACACTTGGGAGCCAGATCACATCCTACTCTCCTCATATTCTCAACATTGAGCGTGCACTTTGGCACATAGTAGGTGCTCATCAGATGTTTGCTGAGTGATTGAATTGCTTTATCAACCACAAATACCACAGAAATGTGGGTGTGTCTGACCATCCCTACTTTGGGCACAGATTAACTGTGAATATGTCTTATATATACAAATGCAGGACCTCTTTCCTTGGCCCCAACACTACCTATTGCTGCTGTTTTCTCTGAATGCCATTCCACTCCATCCCCATGTGCCTCTGGTCCTTGGACTCTAGTAAGTTCTCACACTATTGGGCCTGGTACTTTCATCCTGCCCCTCATCCAAGAATAGAGTTGGCCAGTCTTCGAACCACATTTTTCCTCACTGATTTTCAGACTTACTTTAAAATGCCTTTGAAAACTTATTGTTTCTCTGTTCAATTTTAATTTTTGTTCCACTTGGTACCATGGGAGATAGCAAAGGGCATATTATTTCGAAGGATACAAAGATACATAAAACATTGTCCTTGCTTATGTTATGGCAGAAGTGGGCAAGTGTCCAGCTAGATCTCAAAAGTCTTATGACTCATGCACAAAGTGCTAAGGGAATGTAGAAGAGGAAGCTTCCTGCAGTAGTGTAATTGGCATAAAATCTACAGTGAGTAACAGTTGGGAAATTACTACAACCAGTCTGTTCATTTCTGATTGATATCTAAAAATGGACACTATATCTCATTTCTTATCCCAGACTCCTATTATTTTATTTCACATAAAAGATACATTTTAATTCTCTCCAGAGGAAAAATATATAAATATGAAAAGTTGTAGATGCACACACAAAAAAACACCATATAGCTGCAAATCAGTAAAAGCAAGAGTACTAACCATTGATTGGTTGAAGACATATATTGAATTATATTATTCTGTTTATCCCCTCCATAAAATAGAACTTTCATGAGGGCAGAACCTTTATCGTGTTCATTGTCATATCCCCAGTCCTTATAAAAGTGCTAGCATGTAATACTTAGGAAATACATATTTTTTGAACAGATGAATATATGGATACATATAGTGCTGGCCAAGGGGTGCTGTTTCTTCGATTCAAATGAATTTTCAACTGTTTTCTTTAATAGATGGAAATACTGATGAGTACTTTGCTATAAATGAAACATCAGGAGAACTGTCAACCACTCGTGCTTTGGACCGGGAGCAAGCCAACAACTTTACCCTTGTCATCCTGTGCTCTGATCTTGGGGACCCACCGAGGAGCTCTGTGATCCATCTGCAAGTTAGGGTTTTGGATGACAATGACCACAGCCCCTCCTTCCCTACACTTTACTACCAGTCCTCTGTGCGAGAAGATGCTGAAGTGGGAACAGTGGTTCTTACGCTCTCGGCCGTGGACCAGGATGAGGGCCCGAATGGGCAAATCGAGTATTTTCTGACGGGCGAGGATTCCGGTGCATTCTCCATTGACCCTGTGGCAGGCACGGTGAGAACCGGCCACACCCTGGACCGAGAAGCCAGATCGCAGCACACGTTCAGGGCTGTGGCCAGAGACTGTAGCGTCCAGGGGTCAAGAAGCACCACAGTAATTATAAAAGTACACGTCACTGATGTTAACGACAATAATCCAGTTTGGGAACAGAACCCTTTTGATGTCTTTCTTTCCCCCCAGTCTCCTGTAAACCAGACGGCTGCCATTCTGAGAGCAGATGACCCAGACTTGGGGCCCAACGGATCTGTCGTTTTCAGTTTTGCAGAGCCCCAATCACTGTTTTCTATTGACAAATGTACAGGAGAAATTCAACTTCAGCAAAATCCACCTTCAGAACATTTTCCTATGTGGGTACAGTTAAAAGTTACAGACCAAGGGGTCCCAGCCAGAACAACCGCCGGTCTCTTGGTCATTCACATACAAGGAGAAGATGTAAAGATTTCCTTCAGCCACCATCTCTATAAAGGGCTTGTGGCCGAAAATTGCGAGGCAGGTGAGTGTCCCTTTAAGTTTGTTGGATATTGCACCTGTTTGGGCAAAATGCTTAAAACTGTCGATTATACAGCAAGTGCTACTGCAGATTCAGTTATAAACTTTTGAATCCAACAAATTCTTGGTATTGAAGAGTTGTAGTCAACATGGTTAAGAGTAGCCTGGTCTGAGATGAAATGTTAGAGCAGAAAACAGTGAGGACCAAATTACTTCTTACCTCTAAGGAGGACCCTGCCATTAAAGAGTCTGTCAGAAAAGCTCCTGAATAAATGGATGGGGAAGGGCCTTCATCCTGCTGTTTACATTGTGTTTTCTTGACCCCTGATCAGAGTTGTTCTTCTTAGTTCCTTTATATTTAGAAATACTTAATTAAATTTGACTTTTGTCTTTTCAATAGAAGATCATTTATTAGATCTTACACATGAGGGAGGCTAGAGATCATTCTAGAAGTAATATAAACATATGGTATCTGTAAATATCCAGGTAGGTATACATTTCAGGATATCTGAAGCAATGAATTGGGACCTCTGTTTGAAGAGCAAACGTGACTTGTGTGAAGGGCATAAGTCTACAGTGGGAGATAAACTAAAAGCTGCAGATATAACAGGAAAGAGAAAGGCAGAAGGAAGAAATGATAGTTAAGGAGGCTGTTGAAGCTGACCAGATGCCACTGACCTGTGCCTGGGTCAGCAGGATTTCCTGGACCCCTGTAAAAAACAATAACAATGTGCATAAAATATTGATGGAGATTTCAAGCTGGCCAAAGCTTTGCCTGGAACATGAATTCATTTCAGACTCCCAGATCATATCATAGACACCAGAAGGTGATTTTTCTTTTTGAATTCCAGAATTCCAGTGTTTTCAAAAGATTGTAAATCCACTGGTCAGTGTGAGAATGGCCTTGATATAAATTATTTAACAGCATTTTATAGCTGCCAGCATGATTTCTATCCACCCCCCACATACCTACAATTTGAAGCTTTATTTTCGAATGAAAGATATAAGCCTATTGGAAGCTTAAATTTTCTGTAGGTGGCTCAAAAAAATCTGATTTATCAGTAGGTGCCACTTGGCATCCCAAATGAATTATTTTTGGTATTATCATAAATTCTCATAATTCGAAACTGCTTTTAACAGTTACATGTTCTTTTAAGAAAATAAAAAGTTAAAATTAAAAAAAAATAACTCCAGTGTATTTATATTTGTTTAACATTTCTTTGTTGGAAAGCCCACAGGTCCAGGTTTTGATTAACAATGCATTCATCTATATTAACAACATTAACCTTAATACCTCAATTGTTTAAAACAATATGTGGTTTCCATTTTAAAAGCAACCCTTGGTGGGTTAAAATCTCACTTATAGAGAGAGTCACTCTCAGAGGGTGCCACTTGCCAGTAAGACACAGGCTGTCCCTACAGCAGCGTGACAAGAAAAGTTGAAGTTCAAGTGACTCCTCTCTCTTGATTCTTAATGCCACCGCCTCTCCCTGCATTTTCAGCCAAATTAGAGGGAATTTAACCATTCTGAACCTTTTTAAAAGTTAGGCATAAACCTCTAGTTGCCCATGGTGTTTCAGTCCACTAAACAATTTAAACAAATTTTCTAGAAACCAGATTTTATTGCTCTGTTTCATTTCCAGTGCGTTGGTTATCATGATGAGGACAAATCAGTAACCTTACTTCCTCGTGTGGACTATTCACAACTTCATGCATTTCTTTTTTCTATTGTTTTTTTATTCTCTATGTCATTTATTTCTGTTGTAATCTTTATTGTTTCCTCCCTTCTATTAACTTTGGGTTAAGTTTGTTCTTCTTTTTCTTGTTCCTTGTGGTGTAATGCTAGGTTGTTAATTTGAGATCGTTCTTTTATAACACGAGCGTTTGCCACTATTAACTTCTCTCTTACTACTGTTTTGGCTGGATCCCATAATTTTGGGTATGTTGTGTTTTTGTTTTTATCTCAAGATATTTTCTAATTTTCCTTTTGATTTCTTCTTTGATACAGTGGTTGTTCAAGAGTGTGTTGTTTAATTTCCGCATTATGTGGGGATTTTCTAGTTTTACTTTTGGTAATGATTTCTAATTTCATATTGTTGTGGTTAGAAAAATATTTGGCATGATTTCAATCTTACTAAATTTAAGACTTATTTTGTGGCCTGACACGTGATCCATTCTGGAGCATATTCTGTCTGCACATGAGGAGAATGTTTATTCTGCTGTTGTTGAGTGAACTGCTCTATATGTCTTTTAGGTTCAATTGATCTATATGCTTCCTGATTGATCTATCTGGTTGATCTATCCATTATTGAAGGTGGGGTAAAAAAAAAAGTCACTATTATTATGTTACTGTCTATTTATCCTTTCAGTTCTGTCAATATTTGCTTCGTGTATTTGGGAGCTCTGCTGTTAGGTGCATGCGTATTTGTAATTGCTATATCTTCTTGGTGAATTGACTTTTTAATTATTATATAATGTCCTTATTTGTCTGTTATGATAGTTTTTGACTTAAAGTATATTTTGCCTGATATAAGTATGCATTTCCTCTTTTGGATAGCATTTGTATGGAATTTCTATTCCACCCTTTCCCTTTCAGCTTATGTGTGTATCCTTCTATCTAATGTGCACCTCTGATAGACAGCATATAGCCTTGGTTTTTGCCTGTTTATTTATCTATTTAGCTACTTTATGTCTTCTGGGGGAGTTTAATCCATTTATATTTAAAGTAATTACTGATAGGGAATGACTTACTATTGCCATTTTAAAAATTATTTTTGCATATCTTATAGTTAATTTGTTCTTATTTTCTTCTCTTACTGCCTCATTTTCTGTTTCATTGATTTTTTTTTTTTTTTTGTAGTGACACGCTTGATTCCCTTCTTATTTCCTTTTGTGTTTCTTCTATAGGTATTTTCTTTGTGGTTACTGTGGGGGATTACATACAACATATTATAGTTATAACAATCTACTTCAAACTTACAACAGCTCAATGTCAATTATATACAAAAACTCTATTCCTTTACATCTTCCTCCCACACACTTTATGTTATCCATGTCACAAATTACATCTTTTATATTTTGTATCTGTTAACATATTTTTGTTATAGTTTTTTTAATGCTTTTATCTTTTAAATTCTATACTAGAATTAAAAGTAATTTATGTGCCACCATATTACAGGATTCTATATTTATCTCTATATTTACCTTTCCCAGAGAGAGCTTTATATTTTTGTTTACTTTCATTTGCTGTCTAGTATCCTTTTGTTTCAACTTGAAGAACTCACTTTCTCATATCTTGTATGGCAAGTTTAGTGGAGATATAATCCCTCAGCTTTTGCTTATCTGAGAAGGTCTATTTCTCCTTCATTTCTGAAGGATGATTTTGCAAGATATAGTATTCTTGGTTGGCAGTTTTTTTTCTTTTAGCACTTTGAATATAATCATCCTACTGCCTTCTAACTTGTATTGTCTTTGCTGAGAAATCCACTTAGACTTATGAAAGCTTCCATACAGAATGTCACTTTTCCTTTGTTGCTTTTAAGATTTTCTCTTTATTTTCATCATTTATAGTTTGATTTTAATGTGTTTCCATGTAAACTTCTTTGGATATGTCCTAGTTGTAGTCCTTTGAGCTTCTTGAAAATGTATGTCTATTTTCTTCCTCAGATTTGGGAGAGTTGGCCATTTTTCTTTGATAAGCTCTCTGCCCTTTGTTCTTTGTCACTCTCCCTCTCTCTCTCTTCTCCTTCTGAAGTTTTCATAATGTATATATTGGTCCACTTTATGGTGTCCCATAAGCTCTTAGGGTTTCTTCACTTTTTCATTCTTTTTTCTTTAAGCTGCTTTAACTTGGTAATTTCAAAGGATCTGTCTTCAAGTTTACTGATACTTCTGGTTGATCAAGTCTGTTGCTAAACCCCTTTAAGTGAATTTTTCAATTCAGTTATTATATATTTTTAGTTGTAGAATTTCTGTTTGATGCTTTTGTTAGTTTCTATCTCTTTGTTAATATTCTTATTTCATTCATGCATAGTTCTTCTGATTTCATTTGGTTGCCTATCTTTGTTCTCTTGTAGTGCATTGAGCTTCTTTACAATGATTATTTTGAATTCTTTGTCAGATAATTCATAGATCTCTGTTTCTTTAAGGTTGATTCCTAGAGATTTATTTTATTCCTTTGATCGGGCCATGTTTCAAAATTACTTTACCTAAATATTTACATAATTATTGGTTTTTATCATCATGTAACATAAAAAGTATAAAATTGTGCTTTTAAACTGCTGTTGTGGTTGTGTTAGTTTTTTTAATTGTATTTTTGTAAAGAGGAAAGAAACAAGAACATTAAGTGTGTTACACTTTTTAATACAATGTTAAACTTAATGCGAAATTTTAAAAAACTGAAAAGGTAAAAGGTAAATTATTTTGTATGTTTCACTTACCTCATGTGAATTAACGATACAATGTTGGGTCTCATAGTTTGCTATTTATCCTTTATGTGAAATGAACAGTAATTATAAATTTTATCTACATGCCCAGAGACAGACTTTCGTTAAAAATGTGCACGGTAAGCAGAGACCTAGAAGGATTCAAGGGCCTTTTAGTTATTTCCTCTTTTTTGGAGACAGTCTCAAAGTTAGACTTTGTCAGAGGAAAAACATGTATAAACATTTGCAGCTCCTTGCTAACTTTAGCATCTACTTTGAAATATTTTCATTGTATGAAAATCTTTTGTGCTACAATTCCATTTGACATTATGAAAATTTTATTGCAATAAAAATAGGGTTGTACCCTTTATAAGAGAAGTCATATGTAATTCTTCTTTGCAGTTCTGTGCTCATCTTTATTCTTTTACATGCAAGCAATCTCCATGTTTTCTTTTGTAATTGGACATATAATAAGCATATTAACCCATGAAAAAAGGCCGTCAGCAAGATCGTACATCTTGTTGGCATAGCTGTTTCTTTTCTTACTGCTATTCTTAAGAATATATGACAAGCCAGTTGAAATAAAATTTCCTGTGTTTAAAAAAAATAAATTATATCAGGAAGCACAGAACTGTTATGGAGCACTGAGGATAAAACACATTGCACTACTGTAAAGGCTTAGTCCTACCAAAAATGTAAGACATTTTTATATTAACAACATGTCTCCTGAAATGCAATAAAGTAAGCATCAGATTGTAATGTAATTTGAAAGAGTTTTCAACATGTGTAATAACTCGATTCCACCATGATTGATTAAAATCCATTACTTTGTCACGAAATGACTTCATAACTGGCTTGAGAAGAACCACCATTTTGAAATCCTGATAAATGACTTTCAAACTTTGTCACAGTTTATGTTAAACATATTGTTTCTTAAGAGAGTAGTATATTCAGTTTGGATTTTCTTGTTCTTTTTCCATAACAAATTCTGTTTTATGCCTTTTTTTCACTGAGTTTTCACTGAAGTTTCAATTTTACAGGCAATATCATATACTCGTTTCCTTCAATATTTATAATGATTGTTGCATTTTTGAATGTTAAGCTTTGAAAGGGAAAAACACTGTTTGTTCTACTGCATTTCCCCGAAAATAAGACAGGGTCTTATATTTATTTTTCCTCAAGAAGACACCCTAGGGCTTATTTTCAGGGGATGTGTTATTTTCCCCTCAAAGTCTCAGCTTGCAGCACACACAGGATGGCCAGGACCTGACAGAGGGAGCTGACCTTGTTGGTGGGGCTGCCCGCACCTTTCCAGTCACCTCTGGGATAGTAGCTGTCACAATCGGGCAGATGAGAAGGGCTGCTCCTCTTCTTTACCCATCCCCGAAGAAATGCATGAGCTGTGCAGATACGCTGCATAGCCACGCCCATCACTAGTTCTTATTTTCGGGGTAGGGCTTATATTGCACAAATGCTTTGAAATCCTGCTAGGGATTATTTTATGGGTACGTCTTATTTTGGGGGAACCACGGTAGGCCTTTTCTTTCTTTTTTTTTTCTATTCTTTTCAGTGAAATTCTTTGAAATATCCAGAAAAAAATATATAACAATTTTCCTTGGGTTAGGGATCATTTCCACTATAACCTCAAGCAGAATGGCTTTCAAGCTATGTTTTCAGGGCCATGTACTAGGGTTTAACAAGGAGGTTCAACAGATATCTTGAATAGATGCTATTTTTTACTACTGCAAATCTATCAGATAGGATATTATAGCATCGAGTTAGTTTTTTAAAAAATAATTTGCTGTTGGCTTAGGTGGCCCTACAGGCAGGGACCAGTATTTTTATAACCTCGCAGGCTATAAAATGTCAGTGTCCTTTCTCCCTCTCTCTGTCTCCCTTTTTAACCTCCCTTCTTCCCATACTTATTAAGCACCTACTGTGTACAAAGGCATATACTTTTGATTCACAGAACAGCATGCTTTATTCTCAAAAGTTATACTGAGAAAAAGATGCCAGATACTGTATGATTTACAAGTACATGAAATTTTAAAGGTAAAACTAAAGTTATTGAAATATATAGAACACGAATATGTAGAAAACCTCCTCTACTGTCATGGGAATTTAGTCCAATTTAAGCAGGGAGATGAGATCAGTCTTCACAAGTGTTCAGTACAAGTCCACGGGTGACAAATAAGTAACACAATTATAAGTGCCAAAAGGGCTGGAAACAAAAAAAGGAGAGGTTCACTTTTCTCTATCCGAGATGATAAATAGGCAGGCTCAGAACTGGAGTGAGGCCACAGCTGTGTTTTGTTCAATTCACATGGTGTTTTTTGTGTTTTTTTGTCATAAATTATTTTTTTTCATAAATTAAATTTTTTTTTCATAAATTAAATTATTTTCCACCATTTTGGAATTGGGAGATTTCACATGAAAATAAATATACATTTTTTGTCTTCTCTTGAAAAGACCAGGATCTTCAGCATGCTGAGGCCTCCCTTCCCTCCTGGCAGCAATGGCTGACACTGAGTGTCTCAAGCACCTCAGGCATGCTCTGCCTCCTCCACCCATGTGACCCCTTCATTTGTCCATGCTTTTTGCTTTTACCCAAAGACATCTGGTAATGAGCCCTGTTCTGTACTCCTGACACCATGTCAACTCCATTTCTTTTTAAAATGTTTTCTTTTACTTTCCTGTTGTGCCTGTTGCCACTACCTTATACACAGCCCCTGTTGCTGTACACCCAGCAACAAGGGAAAGTCCTCTAGCATTACCTCCCGTCTGTCTCTCCCCAGGCAGGACGGCATGCACACCTTTGCCAGTGGGTGTCATTGTATGGAGCAGGATGGCAGTAAGAGAAGAGGCAGAGTCATTGCAAGATAATGGCATCTAACATAGATGCTGTAAGTTACAGGCCTAAGACCAGAGGGTTGAGGGCCATGAAGAACTATGAAGAAGTTTCTCAGAAGTGGTGGATGAGCAGAAAACAGAAAGCCAAGGAACAAAGATGAAATAAAAAGAGGGGTGGAAGTGGCCAGTAAGCACAGGAAAAGATACTCAACATCATCAGACATCAGAGAAATTAAAATTAAAACCACGATAAGACACTACTGTGTGTCCACTAAGCTTGGGTAAAATTAAAAAGATTGACAATACCAGTTGATGTAGAGCAAGGAGAATTCTCATAAGTTGCTAGCAGGAATGTAAAATGGTACAACCACTTTGGAAAAGAGTTTGGCACTTTCTTATAGAGTTAAACACACACTTAGCCTTGGTGTTTATTCCTGAGGAATGAAAACATGGGTCCACACAAACACCTGTGCATGAATGTTCAGAGCAGCTTGATTCATAACAGCCCCAAGCTGGAAATGATCCAAATTTCCATCTATAGCTAAATGAAAAACAAATAGTGGTATGGCCATTCAGTAGAATATTACTCTGCAATAAAAATGAAATGAGTTTTGATACATAAAGTAACATGCTTGATTCTCAAAAATTATGCTGAGCAACAGAAGCCAGTTATTGTGTGATTCACAGGTGTATGAAATTTTAGAGGCAAAGCTAATCTAGAGTTATAGAAGGCAGATCAGTGATTGATTGGGGCTAAAAGTGAGAGAAATGGCTGTAAAGGACATAAGGGAACTTTCTGAGGTGTCAGAAATATTCTATGTCTTGATCATGATATTGGTGTCACAGGTGTACAGTCATCAGAACTCATAGAACTGTAGATTTAAAATATGTGTAGATTGTCATATGTAAATTTTACATGAATGAAGTTGATTGAATAAAAATATTATTGAAAGAACAAGGTGGGCAGTCCTAAGAGGAAGACAAATGGACAGCCAGGATAGGAATCAGAGCAGAGATGAGCAGCACAGGGCATAAGATAATAAAAAGACACCAAAGTCCTAAGTTGGGACCCAAATGGATTCTTCAGATCCTTCCAGCCACTGTAGATTACTTTTTCCCCCAGAGCTGTCCATACAGACAGTTCTAATTATGCATACTTAGTGCCCCTATTGGTCCTTGCTAATTCTCTCATGCTGGTAATCACTCTGTTCCCCATAACTTAAAATGACTTCCTTTTTGTTTTTCTAATTCCTACAGCTAACTCAATTTCTGTTTCTTCCTTAAAGTTATCTCTTGACTTGCTCCTGCCCTATCTTAACAATTCTTGAATGAATTCATGTCACGCAATTATATCCTCAGTTACTGTCCAGTTGGGTTGCTTTTACCTCCAACTGGGAAGCTGGTTGAGGGAACATTGCTTTTATATATACTCCTATAACCCCCTTTCCCACTCCCACCCAGTGTTCAGGGCTGTGTGTCTTAATCTCTCCACTTCTTTCCATCGTCCCTCCTACAGTCCTGAGTCATTGTCTCCTGTGTGGATTGTGGCAGTATTATCTTAATTGGTCTCTCTGTTCCATTCTTACCCTTCTTTTCTCTATTCTCCACACAACCATTGGAATGATAGCTCTTAAAAGTAAATAATATTATTTTACAATATTTCTTAAAATGTCTCCATAATTTCCCTTTGCACTTAGAATAAAATCTAATCCTTGCTTACCTGCCGTCTCCACCTTGTGTCTTCCCTCAGTCACGTGCTTCACTCAACCAGGCCCTTTCCCAGCCCACAGCCTGTGGGTGGTTGTTCCATCTGCCGGAATCCTCCTCTTCCTGCTCTTGCTATGGCTTCTCGTCCTTCACTGCGCCCGCATTTCTCAAAAGCAGTGTCTGCCTCCCTGCAGAAGAAGTCCCTTCTATCACATAGGCTTATTTCTCTTTCTAGGGAACGTGGCACAATCAGAAAATTTCCTTGATTATATATTTGTTGAATGGCTTTTCGATTGTCTCCTCCCACCAGTTTAATAAACACCACGAGGATAGACATCTTTATTATTTTGTTTGCCACTATATCCCCAGCATCTACCATGGGGTCTGCCTTATTGAAGACGCTTAACAAGTAATCCTTGAATGAATGAACAAGTGAAAATATAGTAGGCAAATAATAAATATTAATATTCAGTATTTGCTCTTGTTTTTCCATGAAATTTTCTTATCCTAAAGAAGTTTTTATTTACCTAATTTTTTACAGGTACATCTATTGCGACCATAAAAGCTCTTGCTCCTGACTCAATTCAGGACAGCATTCAATATTCAATATTTAGTGGAAATGAAGATGGTGCTTTTTCCCTGTGCTCCAACTCAGGTATTCCTCCTCTGTCCTCTAATAGCTTTATGTCCTCCTCCATTTAATGTTACTAGTAATAAATACTCCTGCAAAATTTAAGAATTAGAAAGAATTAGGAGTAGATAATTTAAAAGTTAAACAAGAAAGAGTTTTCTATGGCAGCCTATGAGAATTGTGGGAAATCAAGAACTATTTATTTGTTAATGTATATTCACTAAGATGTCTATCTTAACACTTCCAAATTAGATGATGCCTATCCTGCTCTTCAAATTTTAAAAAATAAATTAGTTTCTATTTATAAGTTATCCATCTATTTGGGAAAATTGGAGATATAGTGGGGAGATCATCGATGTTGAGTTTGAATTGAAAAGTAAGCACACACGCTTGGCCTCAGGGAATTTTCATCAGAGATTCTTGTAATTCGCCACTGAATGTCAACAATGCAACAAGAAAGGACAGCTGGAAAGGTTTCTATGTGGTGGTAAAGAAATTACTTCCAAATACAGCATGTATTAAATTTAGCTTTAATAAGACCATTATTGTGTTTTAAATGAATACCAATTGATTATTTGAAACATACTTTTTTGACTAACAACTATGTAGTAGATATATATCTACTGCTTCATTGTCAAACCCCAAGGAGCATGTTTTTAATAACTTCTATATTACCATACAACTGCCTTGTTTAATCCATACTACATGCACATGGGAAGAATTGAGAAGGAGCAATTTCAGAGGTAAATGCCGTCTCATGCTGTGTGGTGTTACAACTTCTGGGTCCACATAGCCTTCGGTCAGCAACCTTCCTGATAGCCTGCTAGAAGCCTTCACCTCCTCACCCTATCATTGGGTTAAAGGATAGGCAAGAATCCTGTTGTTAACAGGGTCATTTGTGAACATCACCACGTCTTAACTTTCTTGCTGTCCAGGTGTTCTGAGGATTCTGGGAATTTGTTTAGGAAGAAAGGAAAGTAGCAGAGTTTGCATATTTTCCCAGGCTATCCAAATCCTTCTTTCTGCCACTACACTCCTAACATGGCCCAGGCCTGACCTTATTTTTTTTAGAGTCTCTCATTAGAATACAGATAAAATCTGCCTAAGGTCAGTCCAAAGAGATCAACCACAGAAACTCTTTATTTATTGAATAAGTGATTATGTTGAATTCATTTAAAATTTTATTATGAAACATCTACAAGATGGTAGGTGAAAATGCATAAAATTGTTTAATAAACAATAGTAAAATAAAAACCCATACACTAGCCGCCCATGTTCAGAAATATCACATTACAGTAGTCTCCTTTTATCCACAGTTTCACTCTCTGAGGGTTTAGTTACCCATGGTCAGCAGTGGTCTGAAAATATTAAATGGGAAAGTTCCAGAAATTAACAATTCATAAGTTTTAAATAGCTTGCTATGCTGAATATTGTGATGGAAACTCACACCATTCTGCCTGGGACATGAATCATCCCTCTGTCCCGTGTATTCACTCTGTATATACTACCAGTCTGTAAGTTGCTTACTAGCTATCTCAGTTATCAAATTAATTGTTACGGTCTTCACAATGCTTGTGTTCAAGTACTCCTTATTTGGCTTCATCATGGCCCCAAAGTGCAAGACTAGTGATACTGGCAATTCAGACATGCCAAAGAGATGCCGTAAGATGCTTCATTTAAGTGGGAAGTTGAAATTTTTTGGCTTAAGGAAATAGAAAAAATCATATGTTGAGGTTGCTAAGATCTACAGTAAGAACAAATCTTCTGTCTGTGAAGAAGGAAAAAGAAATTTGTGCTGGTTTTGCTGTTGCATCTCAAAATAAAAAATTACAGCCACCATAAGGGATAAGGACTTAGTTAAGATGGAAAAGGGATTAAATTTGTGGGTGAAAGATGTGAACAGAAAATGTGTTCCAACTGAGGGTAATGTGTTACACCAGAAAGCACTGAGCTTATATGAAGATGTCAGCCAGGGGTTCCCTGAAAACAGTGACACCAAGTCATCTTCTTCAAGTAGGAAAGGTTTCACAGATTCAGAAATGGGTTCAGATGGAAAAATATAAAAATTGCTGGAGAGGCTACATCTGCAGACACAGAAGCTACTGCCAAATTTCCAGCGGAGTTAAAGAAGTTGGTTAAGGAGAAAGGATAGCATCCAAAGCAAGTCTTCAACTGAAATGAAATCAGGCTGTTCTGGAAGAAGATGCCCAATAGAACCAACATTTTTAAAAAGCCTAAAGGAAGCACCAGAGCATAAAACATGGGAGGACAGATTACCTCTGGTGCTGTGGGGCAGTGCGGCAGGGCGTGTGATAGAATCAGGTGGAGTGTGCAGAGCAAAGACCCCACGTGCTCTCAGAAACAAAACAAGAATTATCTGCCCATGTTCCGGCAGTATAATCATATTATGTGGATGACACTCATCTTGGTTATTGGTTCCACCAATGCTTTAGCCCCAAAATAAAAAAAATTACTTGGAAGAGGAAGGGTTGGAATTTAAAGTCCTGTTAATAATAGACAATGCACCTGGCCATCCTGAATCTGTTTACTATGCAAATGGAGATGTCCAGGATGTATTTTGACCTACAAATACAACCTCATTGCGTCAGTCCCTTGGCCAGGACATCATTAAGTTTGTCGAAGCCACATACACCCACCTAGTGTATTTGATGTCTTCGATCAACAATTGCTACAGACCATAATCTGGACATAATGCAATGCTGGAAATCATTCACTATTGCTGACGCAATAACATTCATTAAAGCTGCAATGGATGAATTAAAACCAGAAACTGAAAATGCCTGCTGGAAGAACTTCTGGAGTGAAGTCATGAATGATTTTAAAGGCTTTCCAGGGATTGATGGAGAAATTAGGAAAATCATTCACACGGCAAGACAAGTTGGTGGAGAAAGACTTGCTGACATGCTTGATGAAGAAGTGGAAGAACATATTGAAGGGTGTCCAAAAGTGCTAACAAATGAGGAATTGGAAAAACGTATTGAGTCACCTACAGAGGAAGAGGAAGAAACTGAAGCAGAATCAGCAGCATGGACATTACTAAAATTTGCTGAAGTGTTTAGAATTGCACAGATATTAAAGGACAGAATTATGGAATGTAATCCTTGGATTGTCACATTAAAGTCAACCATGTGATCACAGAAGGATTACAACCTCTGCAGCAACACTTTGATGAGTTAAAAGGAAAGAGACAGCAACTTCTGATTACAACGTTACTCCAGAAGGTTTTGGAAAAAGACCTTCAACTATTGAGGGTCTCCAACCATCAACACTGTCTGCCCCTGATACCCAGCCATCAACAGCATGGTTCAATGATCCAGGGTCACCCGAAGCAGATGATCTTCCATTTGATGACATGTCAATGGTAGCTTCACGCTATGTCACAAAGCTTACATCACTCACCACACTTTGTCTTATTATGTGGGGATTTTATCATCTCGCACCATCACAAGAAGGGTGAGGACAGCACAGTAAGATATTTTGAAAGAGAGGTAGCTGGAGAGAGAGAGGGATCACATTCACATAACTTTTATTACAGTATATTATTATAATTATTTTATGTTATTATTATTCTTGTTAATCTCCTGTGGTGCCTAATTTATAAATCAAACTTTATGATAGGTATGTATGTGTAGGAAAAAAAACTATTATCCATAGGATTTGGTACTATCCATGGTTTCAGCGATCCTCTGGGTGCCTTGTATCCCCTGCAGATAAGGAGGGACTACCATACCAGAACTTCAGGATGTCTCTGTGTGCCCCTTCCCTTTTATCTGTTTCCTTTTTCTTTCTTTTATTTTGTTGTTGTTGCTATTGTTTAGAACTATGGATACATTGTGGAATGGCTAAATTGAGCTAATTAGCATATGCATTACCTCATGTCTGTCTTCTTTCACCCCAGAGGTAATCAGTAACTTCAATTTAGTATTGATCACTTTTTGGGGGCTATAATTTTCCCACTGTATTTTCATTTCCAAATAATATGTTATTTACTTTTGCCTTGATTTAAACCTGATAATAGAATCATACCGTGTGCTCTTCTATTATTATTAATAATATTTTATTCTTTTGTTCAATGTTTTTATTGTGACTTATAGCGCACAAACCATTCCATGTTAAAGAGGAATAGCAAAGAGTGATACATATTTTCTTGCATATCTCTTGTTAGATTGGCCTAAGTTCTTTATACTTTTTCTGACAGTACTGGTTCATATCCTTGAAATTGACTTTTGTCTTTTGATTTTGTATCTAGTAAACTTGTAAACTCTTAGTCATTCCAACATTTTTCTTTACATTTGACATATATCATCATTATCTGAAAATGACCATTTTCTTCTGTGTTTGTTGGAAGTTATATAGCTATTTCTCTTCTTTTAGTGGTTAGCCTAGTTATTTTTTAAATACATATAACTAAAGTCCAACATTAATCAATATCCTCTTCTTGAATAATACAACAGAAATGCAATTCTTTATCTCCAAATACTCGTTTTTCAAGGTACATGCTTTTGCTGACCACAATTATAGTTCTTTCAAATTAGGCATTATTAGTGTTTTTAAATTGATCTAGCTGCATCTTTGCTAATGTCTTTGCTAACTGTTCTTCCTTACATCTCAGACTTTCCTCAGTATCATTTTCTTTCTGCCTTAAGTATCTCCTTTAGCGAGGGTCTGTGTAGCAAACTCTCTCAGGTTTTGGTTATCTAAAAAGTGTGTTTATTTAATCCTTGTTTTTAAAATATATTTTTGCTAGTCTTGCAAGTCTAGACTCACAGTTATTTTCTCTCATCATATTAAGATATTATTCTACTGTCTTCTGGCTTCTCATTTTTGTATTAAGAAGTCAGCTGTTGCTCTAAATGCCATTTATTTGTATCTTTTTCTTGAACTCCAATTAGACAAATATTGGGCAATAGGACTCTCTCCTATATCTCTATTTCTTATTTTTCATCTTTTTGTCTTTCTCTTCAGTTTAGGGAACAATATTTTTCATTTCCAGAAGTTCTCTTGGGTTCATTTTCAACTCTTCATTGTATTTTTTTAACTAAATAATGTCCTGTTTCTTGCTCATATTTCCATGTTATTTTTTATATATTTAAGCATAGATATTAATAATAATTCTGTGTCCAATAATTCCAGCACCTTATGTCTGTGCAGCTTTGTTATCTGCAGTCTGTGGATTTGCTTGCTGCCATTTATGGTGACTTGTTTCTCCGTGATTTTTGTGTTTGTAGACTATGAGCTGCCCATTACCCTTGAAATGTTTTCATTGAGGATTTTTTTGAAGCCTGAGTTGAATTTGTGCCTTTTAGAGAGTATTTGCTTTCTTTTCTGCAATATATATATATATATATATATATATATATATATATATATATATATATATATATTATGGCTACCACAAATCCAGGGTTAAACTAATAAATTCTCAGAAGAGATTTTTTTTCTTTTTTCCAACCAACACGGACATCAAAAAAAAGGTCAAGTTTCTGTGTCGCAGATGAAGGTAGATTATCTGCTTTGAGTGATTCTGGATCATTCTGGATGATGTCGATGGTTGGATGTCAGGAGCAGCCAGCCTCAATGGTCGGGATCTTTGATAGTTGACAGTTTTTTGGCTGAAACCTTTTGAAGAACATCATAATCGGAAGTTGCTAACTCTTTAACTCATTGGAGTGCTGCTGCAGAGGTTGTAGTCCTTCTGTGATCATAAGAACGTTCCATCTGAGGACTATTCCATAATTTTGTCCTTTAATATCTGTGTAATTCTAAAGACTTCAGCAAATTTCAGTAATGTCCACACTGCTGGTTCTGCTTCAGTTTCAGTTTTGTTTCTTTTTTCTTTCAATATTGATCACTCATTTGGAATGTACATAGCATTTGGACTTCCAGCTTTATGCTGATTTTTCCTACTGGTTTCTTCACCTATTGTGGGTTCTTCTTGACTTATTTTCCACACTCTGTGCAACTATCAGGCATGGATATCAAGGTAGAAGTTTTCTGTAGAAATCTTTGGAATAAAAATGGGCTTTTTACAAACGTTAAGGTTATGTAAAAAATAAAAAATAAAAAAATAAAAAAAAAAAAATGGGCTTTTAATGCTTGCTGACCTCCTACAATTTCTGTTTTTATTTCTTTTTTGTCTTCTGAGGAATCCTTACAACTGTATCAATTTAATAATGCATTTTAATACACACATGTATATGTATATATAACTAATCAAGCATTTTAATTGTTTTTATTATGAGGATTGTTCAAGTATATAGTTTATCATTCTACTGTCAAGAGAGCTTTTTTAAAAAACTTTAATTATGATGTTAAATGCATCTTTCATGCTACTTGGACACATTTTCATTAAACTTCTGTCTAAAGGTACCTACCATAAGTTTTCTGAATGTGTGTATTTTAAACCATAGACCAGTTAAAATAGAAACTGGTATTACGATAAATCAATAATATTGATCTCTAAGATTGTAGTCACTTTCCTTAAGAATAAAACTGGGAAGAAGCCACTTTATTAGTTATGTTAAATTATGATTAGATAGATCTTTGATGAGAACTGTGTTTTCTGCCCATTTTTGCCAAAGTTTGTCCTCTGTTCCATAGTCACAAACCAAAGATTGACTTTTATATCTAAATTTCATGCCACTTTATATTAAAAATGTATATTATTCACTGTCTAAATAGGAAGATTTTAGAGCTTGCCTAAGGTTGTGTATGTAAATAATAGATGCCAGTATTCGTTCTAGTATTTGTTAGAGTGACACGAAAGAAAAATGATTAAACTTTTCATTGTTTCAAAGACAGTTTTCATAGGAAAGAGTTTAAAAGCTGCTGGATAACATAAATATTTATCTCATTCTCCTTGGGGTTTGTACAGACACATACATGTACACAGTATATAATTGACTAAAGTAACTTCATTATGTTATCAAGCATGTAGTATTTGAAAAATCTTAATCTCATTTTGAATTTTATTTTATAACTTAATCAAAAGTTATATATATATATATATCTACACATATTTTAGAAGGAAAATATTACTGCTATTTTGTTCTCAAGTTATTACATAACTGGCACACTAACATATGTTATATAACATAATAACATAACATAAGCATGAACATGAAGTTGGTATTTGTAAGGCTTCTTACTCTAAGGAAAATGTGATTTTCTGCCCACACTATTAGAGCCCAATAGTGCTTTCATCTCTCTAATGACAGGATATCCTTGATGTCTTTGAGAAAAATACACATGTAGCATCTAAGGCAAAATGTGCATCTCGTAGGTGTGCCAGACTGGAATCATCCTACAGACTGGTTATTGTCTTTTTTCTACTTGCACAACTTTCACAGCATATGCCAGTTATTAGGCCAAAAATAAAAACGAAGCAAGGAAAGCATTAGAACTGTAGATCCATTCCAAGTGCAAAATTCCAATTATCAAAGCCCAAACACAAGCCTTTTATTAAAAAAATCCACTTTGATCTGCACTATAATTGGCACACTTTCTACTAAGTGACATTGGCAATGTAGTGCTACATTTCTATTGTATTTTCCTTTTACAAACAGTAACAGAACATGATAGCCAGCCCAGTGCTCTATTTGGTAGACAGAGAGATCCGTGTGGAAGCTTTGGACCCACCTCAGACTCGGGCCCCTGTGCCATCTGGGGGTGCAGGAATCAAACCTTGTTTCACAGAGGTTTCTGGAGACCCTCTTCTTTCATCACCAGACTATCAGAAGGCTTCTTAATGATTCTCTAGCTGCCAAAAGTTAGAGGCACTCTAAATTTCCAGCAGGGTTGTTGTTCACAACAGCCTGTGGTTTGTAAAAGTAATTTGCTTCCAGTACTAAATCAATAACTAAATCTGATGTCAAAAAATGATAATGAGCTTATGAAGCTTTAAGTTTGGCAGTATACTAGTTCTTGATATAGAATATAGATATTTATTTTTTCTTAATGGAATATAAGTTATAAAATCTCCCCCGAAACTCTCAAGACCAAAGGTGAAGTATTAGAACTGGGTATGATCTCCACTAGAATTCAGGTAGGCACCAGATGGCCTAAAGTTTTTTGGACTAGGTTGGTTATTTGGGAAAGCCAGTTCACACAGAGCAGTAAGAATTATAGCTTCCAGACCAGATTTCGAGAAAAAGTTCAGATTCTTCTACCAGAAGATCAAACTTCTAATAGTCCATGGCTATTAAATTTTCTCTTTCTAAATTCAGAGTTCACAAAGATATTAAATCTATATGTGATGATGCAGGGGCAGCCAAACATGGGTGGAACATCATGGAATCTATGCGTCACTGCAAAGACTCTCCAAACATGCATTATGTCACTTGCTCCAAGACGCACCCTGTGAGGTCATTGTTAATATCCCCATTTTACAGAAAAGGGGGCCTCAGCTTTATATAACCTGAATAACTTATTCCAGGTCACAAAATTAATAGCTGGTGGAGCTGGGTAATTGACCTAAATTAACTAGCTGGATCTGGGATTTATGTTCGGTTTCAAGTTTCTTTAACTCCAGGTCAGCGCTCATTCAGCAAATCTCTATTCTATGGAATTTCCAACAGTTAAAGCCCAGTAAATAATAATCATAAATTGAGTTATAAATTTTGTTGTAAAGGGGAGGAAAAAAATGAAGTAAATCTAGAAAAGGAAATTATATTAAGAGAGTAAATTTCTTAATTTGGGAGGGAAACTAGAGCATGACATCACCCCCAAATTTGCGCTTCCCTAACCTGCTTCTGCTTTTTATATGGGGTGTAAAAGTATTACTGAGTGCCTTCTGCAGGCCAGACCCTGGGCTAGACACAGGGGATATGACTGTGTGTCCCAGACAGGCAAGAGTCGTCACCTTGTGACACTTATAAACCAAGAGGAATAAAAGGACCAATACAGGTGAACAAAGTGACGATGCAGCTACCCAGAAATGCAGGTGCTTTGTGAGAGTCTGTTTGGGGCTGACATAGTGATGGCATAAGTGTGGGCGGTCCAGAAAGATCCCTGAGGAAGGATAGATGTGGGGGCCTTTTCCAGACAGATGGAAACATGCACGATGACTCCGAAATGAGCTTTCAAGGAACAGATGCATGTTATGGCCATTGAAGGGTTTTATGTGAGGCAATGGACAGCGTTGTCTTTTATTTAATTCAGAGTGGAGACTGGATTGGGGGAAACCAGTTCCAAAGTGGGAAATGCTGGTGGCTTGGAGGAGGGTGGCAGCAGTGGGGCTGCAAGAGGTGGATTCAAGAGATGTTTGAAAGGCAGACTTTCCAGGCCTGGGGATGGGCTAGATATGGAGAGAGAAGGATGGCTTAAGAGACAGCTCCTGGATTCCAGATATTTCACAGTTTCTTTCCCTCTACATGGTTGAATCCTGCAAATATCTGTGAGATCTCAACTTTTTTCACAATGACCCCAGTCGGTGGGGAAGGGAGGCCAGCGCATGGGAAGCTAGGAGGGGCAGGTGAGCATGTGAGCATATGAGTCAAAGGTGATTTGGGACTTTTAAAAAATGACTACAGCATTATTTTCTTTGTTTTTCTACTTGAAAACAAAAATAGGACAGCTCACTGTGAAAGAACCCAAGTTTCTTGATTTTGAAGTCAGAAACGAGGTGCAACTCATCGTTTTAGCTGAAAGTGGCAGGCATAGAGCCTACAGCAAAGTGGCTGTCTTGATCCAGGATGTGAATGATAATCTACCGCGCTTTGAGCGACGTGTTTACCAAGCACGCGTGTCTGAGGGCCAGCTCTACAATGCTCACGTCGTGCAGGTAACAGAAATACGTGTCTCTCTCTCTCAATCTCTCTCTCTCTCTCATGAGAGAATTGTTCTCGATCAGTGTATATAAAAATATCTAAGGCCTATGTCCAACACATCAATTAAAATGTAAATGTTTCCAGGGCCGGGCGCGGTGGCTCACACTTGTAATCCTAGCACTCTGGGAGGCCGAGGCGGGCGGATTGCTCGAGGTCAGGAGTTCGAAACCAGCCTGAGTGAGACCCCGTCTCTACTAAAAATAGAAAGAAATTAATTGACCAACTAAAAACATATATACAAAAAAAAAATTAGCCAGGCATGGTGGCGCATGCCTGTAGCCCCAGCTACTCGGGAGGCTGAGGCAGTAGGATTGCTTGAGCCCAGGAGATTGAAGTTGCTGTGAGCTTGGCTGATCCCATGGCACTCTAGCTTGGGCAACAAAGTGAGACTCAGTCTCAAAAAAAAAAAAAAATTTAAATGTTTCCAAGATATTTACCATGTTGATGGGTTAGATGAAATCTTGCATCGAAATAAATTTGAGTTTCTGCATGCACTTTTTTTTTTCTCTGTTCATTAAGTACTCAGTTGTCGCCTCCCTGCTTTCTCTAGGGACTGTGTTGAGCACTAACAGGAACTCTGTAGGGGCACAAAAAACTACTAATGTCAGACATGCATACAATTTGATGGGGAAGGAAGAAATCTAAGTGTATAACTTAAATGTCATATAATTAATATCATAATAGAAGCATGCATTTAGAGTCACAAGAGAATAGGGGAGCGAGATGCAAACTATCCCTTGAGGACACGTATGAGGCTTCACAGGAGAATGATACTTGCATTTATGACTTTCCCTTCCCCATAGGATTGATTCTTCGTAGTCATGAAGCTGGGCATTAGGAGATCCCTAACCTCCTGTGATGCTGCAAAGAAAATCATTATAAAACCGCTTCTGGGCAAAGTTAGCCACAGAGCAGGACATTTTCTTTGGCTTCTAGAATGCCACTGCTGCGATGAGTGCCTAATGCTCACCACACACACCCCTTTCTCTCTGGGCCAGGTGGGGTCAGGCATTGGCATGGCATGCTAGCACGCCCTCTGGACAAGACCTCCAGCAGTTCTTACTGAGCAGCCTCTATCTTCCCGACTCGATAGAAAGACACCTTCCTTTGACTTCAAGTCCAGTTCCTGATGCCCGTGACGCCCTCTGTTGGTGCAGACAAGACCAGCAGAGTCTTAACTGCCCTGGAATTTTAGCTCTGTGCCCCCATACGCTGGTGGTCCTGCAGATCTGGGACCCCGTAGGCTATTATTGCAGATTTATTTTGTATGACAGTAGCCATACTTCTCCAGTTGCCAGCTTGTTCCAGAAGTGTCGTGTCTTTACCCTGGTTTCAGCCATGACTGGGCTATTTAAGAAGAGAGTGAAGGCATTCACTTTTCCAGGCTTCATTATCCGTGCCCAGGGATGGTGGGGTAGGAATGGTAGAGTCTCCAGTGCCACTTTGTCACTAGAGGGTCCCTACACTGGGGTCCTGCATGCTAACCCGGATGGAGCTAGAGTGCTCAGTGTGGCGTAAGTGCAGGTGAGGCCACCTCTGAAGCCCAGGTACACCAGCAGGGAAGAGCCTGGCTCACCAGTGCTTCCAGTTACATACAGCAGACTGACTTCCAGAAGGCTGAGTCAGGGCCAGATACAATGAGCTTTTTCTTCCCATTTTTCTATCATTTGGTTCTCAAGAAGCTAGCACTGCCATTCACCTTTGTGCTGTTCAGAAAATTAGAAATGGAGAAGGCTCTGGAGCTCATACCTCCTAGAGGGATTACTTCCTGGCTTTTGCCACCACCCTGCCCATACGCCTCCTTTTGGTTACAGCCCTGCAAGCTTCATTTCTCTGCAAAACAGGCTTAACCCATCTAACAGAATAAATCCTGTCTAACAGAAGAGTCGATTCCTCACAGGTGTTTGCTACTGACCTGGACAGTGGTGTGAACGGCCTAATTGAGTATTCCATTCTTTCTGGCAATCAAGATGAGGCATTCCAGATTGACGCGCTCAGCGGTGTGATAACAACAAATGCGATTCTAGACTATGAGTTCACCAGCTCCTACAGGTTTGTCCAGGATTCCGATCCATTTAATCAGCTACTCTGCCTGCTTTCTGACAACACCATCACTTAGGGCATGACTTCCTGTGATATAAGCTTAGTTTTCCCTTTGATGCAATTTATGATCACCATTTGTGACATATTAGAATAGTCTCAGGAATTATTTATCTTTGGAAAAAGTGATTAGAACAGAAGAACTTTAACATCGCTGCTGTTAATAGTTCTAAGATTTTATGAATTTGTGATGCTATTAGCCACTAAATGAGGGACATTAAAAAGATAATGTTTATGAGATGCCCACTGAACTAGAGAGCCCTCTGCAAATGTTTGTTGTTATTGTTTTTTAAAAACGGTGAACACTGACATTTTGCTCCTTAATTCTTTGTTCTTGTTTTGTATATGAAAATTCAACTCTGTTATCAGGGTCCTGCTGCAGCACTGTGTTCTACTAGAGATGATTTCATCAAAAGCATATGGTCAACATTAAAACTTTGTGTCTGGAGTCTAAGTTATGCCAGCCTTAGACAGAATTCAATAAAAGAGAGAGTAATAATGTGACAAGTCTTCTTGGCATTTTTAAAAATCAGTGCTACAAAAGTCTAGATTCACATACAGAGATGTTTATGGCATCACAATCTGTAGAAGCAAAAGACTCTTAAGAAACCAAAAACATCCACGACTGGAGACTCCTTAAGGAATTTTGGCACAGCCCTTCCATGGAATACCATGAAACTGATTTTACAAAAGAAAGAGGTACCCATCTGTATGCGCTGGTGGGGACAGATCTCTAGGATATGTGACCGAGTGAAGGCAGTAAGGAAATGCAGTACAGTGCTTACACAGCAAGCCTATTTGAGCAAAAGCACCCCCAGACACTTACAATACTTTTGGAAGAAAACACACAAAAGAACTGTTAATGTTATTTGTCTTTGGAAAAGCAGTCAGGCAGCCTGTGGTTGAAGAGCGGCTTGGCTTTCTTATTGTCCATTTTACTACGCTTGCTATATATGCGTGTCATATATTTGTATGTTTTTCCAAAAGGCCTGGCCCTTACAGTATTTTATTTAACCCTCACAACCACCACATGAGGACATCAAGGTGGGCATTTTCTTATTTACTGATAAGGCAACAGACATACAGTGACTTGTTCAGGGTGACAGAACAACTTGAGGGTCAAGGTGGACTTGCACCCAGGTGTTCGGCTTCCAAGCCCCACTATCTCCGTGGTACAGCTACAGAGCAGGTCTCCCACTGAGGAACACACAGGCACGGTGCACCAAAGACCGCGCGTGTCAAGGGTCTCGCATGACAGACTACTTTTATGTTTTATGAAGAAAGTACAATGTATTCCCGTGGGCCAGGCGCGGTGGCTCACGCCTGTAATCCTAGCACTCTGGGAGGCCGAGGCGGGCGGATTGCTCAAGGTCAGGAGTTCGAAACCAGCCTGAGCAAGAGCGAGACCCCATCTCTACTATAAGTAGAAAGAAATTAATTGGCCAACTAATACATATAGAAAAAAATTAGCCGGGCACGGTGGGGCATGACTGTAGTCCCAGCTACTTGGAGGCTGAGGCAGGAAGATTGCTTGAGCCCAGGAGATTAGGTTGCTGTGAGCTAGGCTGATGCCACGGCACTCACTCTAGCCCAGACAACAGAGTGAAACTCTGTCTCAAAAAATATATATATATATATATTATATTATATATTATATGTTATAATATATTATAATATATACAGATACATATTATAATATATAATATAAATATTTATAATATATTATAAAAAATATGTATATTTTTTATATATATATTCCTGTGGTGAAGCAATGAGAGCTCATTAAAATGGAATCTCTTACTGATTGGATTAATTAACTTCTGAAAAACCTCCCAACCCTAAAGGGTCCCAACACTTGATTAAGTGTTTAATTTTTTGGTTTAATATATTTTGAAATACACGTTCAAAAGTATTTTTAAAATTTTAAGACCTTCCCCTGTGTTAACTATTAGGAATTTTTCAGTAATATTTTAGCATAATTAATGTTTAAGATACTTATTGTATGAATATGTTGAAACCTATTCTTGCTACATTATTTCTATAAAAATTGTAAGCATCAAGCTCAGCCTTCCCCTACACTATCACTCCATGGGTGACTGCAGGTAAATCTGTCTAGTTGCTGTTTGAATGATTACAAATTCAGAGATTATTGATCATCTGCTATATTCTAGGAACTAAGCATTTTCTGATTGGGATGACTTTCTATTACAGCATTCTTCTTACTCAATGGAACCCAATTAACAATTAAATCTAATTTCTTTCAAATTTTCCTACTTGCATCATAGTTTCTATGTTTGCAACGCTCAAATTGGTCCCAATATTTAAAAGTGCATCTCTCTCATTTCCCATGAAAAATGTAATTCAAGGCTGGGATAAGCAAGAAGTGGGAGAAGTTGAACCCCTCACCCACTGCCACAGAGATACACACAGATAACCTCACACACCCAGACACACACACACAGTCTTCAGCATCAACAAAGCAAAAAATATTTTAAACCTTTTGCCTCTCTGGGCTCTTCTCGCACCCACTCACAACCTCGCCCGCGGTGTGGCTTGTGTCTCTCTTTAGTGCTTTCCTTGATATTTAAGACACTGAGAAATAGAGGATGATTTTTCCCTAGTCTGCTATACCTTTAGTGAATGCTTTAGAAACAATTCCATTTCGCTTTCAATTTTTTTTTACTTTTGAAGTATTGCTGTTTTATCTAATTGAGGAAAATATTTCCAATTCCAGCCCTTTCTTTTAAACTATAAACTGAGAAAAATGGGAATGTCAGTATGATTGTACTAAATGTTAAGTGTATTAAATAATATTTAGTTTTCATATTAAGCCACATATGAGAAAACTCAGTAGAAACACGATTACAAATTATAAAATAGGTGTTAGTTTCTGTCTGACTGATATTTCTGAATTCATAAATACTATTTACCAAGCATGAGGCTGGGCATACAAAGACAAATGAAATAATCCTGTTCTCAGGAAGCTTATAAATTGAGCCCCAATAAAATCGATAGCAGGAAGCATATTAATAATCACAATAGTTACCATTTATGGAGCTCCAGATTTACATTTATTTATTTAATTGAATTCCTTTAATAGACATGATTTACAGAATGAAGAAATTGAAATTAGAGAGCTAGAGTTGTTTGGCCAAGAATATGAGGCTACTAAATGGTGGATTATGATTCTAGCCCATGGGAATGATTTCAGTAGGACTTCCTATTGTATGATGTGAATGAATCTTAAAACTACATGTACATACATTTACAAAATACAAGATAGGGAAAAAACTTTAAAAATTAAAATAATATTGACAAATAAGCCCCAGCTTGCAATTGTGAAATAACACATATTTAAGCGTGAACATCCAAAAATGGAATTTGAATCCCTGCTTTCCACTACTTGACTTATAACTCATGTAGAGCTACTTACCGCTGTTTAAATTGGTAATTGATATTCATATAATTGTAATAATCTTGGGCTAAGATTTCTAATCTTTTGGAGGACATTAAATAAAAATGAGCAAAAGTCCTAGACAACTAGGAGATCATTTAAGTGTTTAAAAATTCCATTTCTGTAGCGTAAATATTCAACGTGAAAGGACACTTTATCACCAGGAACAATGTGAAACACGCAGTGTATTCTCCATTGAATACTTATTATGATTTTGAGAAAAATAAGAAAAAGCAATTATATAGGAAAAGTAGGAAATGGGCTGAGATGTTAATTGTCATTTCCAAAATACACGGCACATCAGAAGCAGAGCTGGGATTAGAACCTCAGTCTGTTGACTACTCAAGGAAAAGGGAATAAAACACATTGCAGGCAAAAGGCATGAGGAAAGGCATGGGTATGTGAAAGTGCTTGGTATGTTTGGAAGTAACAGGTATTACAGTGCACCTGAGAAGCAGCTAAGTGTGGGGAATAAAAGAGGTTGGCAGGCAAGTTTTGAAGGACTTGTATGTTTATCGCAGCACAATTCACAATTGCAAAGACATGGAATCAACCTAAGTGCCCATCAACTGATAAGTAGATAAAGATAATGTGGATTACTAATCACTCATTTAAAAAAGAATGAAATATTGTCTTTTGCAGCAACTCAGATGGAACTGGAGGCCATTATGCTAAGTGAAGTATCTCAGGAACAGAAAAACTAATTCTCACTTCTAAGTGGTAGCTAAGCAATGGGTATACATGATCACACAGAGTGACAGAATGGACATTGGAAACTCAGAAGGGGAGGGGGATGACGGATGAAAAAATTACCTATTGGGTACAATATATGCTGTCGGTGATGGGTACACTAAAAGCTTAGACTTCACCACTATGCAATTCATCCATTTAACCAATAACCACTTGTATCTCTAAATCTATTGAAATTAAAAAAAAAATTCCTATCTGGTCAAAGGCCTCATTTAAAGTTTAACATGGTAAAAGAAGCGTCCCATGCTTGGTAGAATAGGAAAAATATGCTCTGACCTTAGAATGCTTAGTATGGGCCTGTTCTAAGTCTGGTCAGTTTCATTTATAGTCTCTGCTGATAATACTAATCAGCTCAACAGTTCTGGAACACGCAGCCAGTTGGACAGGCTACAACCAACAGTTTCATGAAGACTGCCAAAGAGAGAGCCATCACAGATGGCTTGAGAATCTACCTTCCTCGTTTTTTATTTGTTCTTCAAGCCATTAAGAAACCTTTTATTTGTACCTTTATTTTGCAACTTAATATTTCCCTCCATATCAAAGAGTCTCATTTTTGTGAACCTGACAGGCATTCTGTAGAGCTTCTGAAGTTGTAACATTGTGAAAATAAAGGTGATTGCATGTACAGAAGAGTGGACAGCAACTTAACTTTGATGTCTTGGCTGAGACTTTACATGACATAGGGAGGGGCAGGCAGCAGGAGAAGAAAGCATTATGAGTTGATTATTTGTACTAAACCATTTCCATATGTACCTGACTGATAGTCATACTAACAAAATAAACTTTCCATGGAATTATTCCAGAAGTTAGGCTCCAGAAGTGTGAGATTCAGGTGGTTGTGCTGCAGATATCCCAACTAAGAGTGCAAAAGGCAGTCTTGTGTGCTTCATGAATGGTTGATAAACAGTGATCATTTGCTATTAAGTGGCATTCACACCAAGAAAGAATTGATGCTTATTTTACATCATTTAAAAATTTTGAATTGGAAAGAGAAAAACCATTTATCAGGTGAGCTAACAATGGAAAAGAAAGTAGAAATGTGTCAACTTGCAAGACTCCATCCCGTAAAAGGTAGCCTCCACAACTGGCTAAGACTAAACCACTTCTGAATTAAAGGGCATCTTTTTACTGACAACTCATTTTATTAGTCAGCTGCCCTATTGGCCTTCATAGCATTTAGAGGGGAGTGAAAAATAAGCTGATGATCCTACATCAGGGTGATATATATATACTCAGTAAGATAGGAAAATTCAAGGGGTATCATTCAATGAAGCCCAGCTTTCCAGGTGACGAAGACCTGGGCTTGAATCCTGGCTCTGTCATGTAACATGTGTGACCTTGGGCAAGCCCTGCGAAACCAGCACTCAACACTTATTAAAGAAAATCAAGTAAGGCAGCTCTCTACCCAAAGGAACTTATGGGAGAGGCAGGCAAGTTATTAAGAACAAAGAATGATGATTTCCATGGCAGAAGAATGTACAGGGTGTTATGGGAATAGATACAGGGGCATTCAGACCAAATGGGAGGTCATTTGATCACTTGGCAGAGATGTGAGCTTTGAAAAACCAAGAGCATGTAGGGACAGGGATTGCAGCCAGAAGCCAGGACCTAGAAGTTCATGTGTACAAGTTCTGGGCTTGGACAAACCTCTTGTAGACATGGAGAGTGAAGGAGATGTTTTAAATAGGAAGGCCAAGTTTCCAAATTAAGATTTTACATGAAGCAATTGGGCTGCAGTGTGGGGGATGAATGGAGCAGCTGAGACTTGCACAGGGAGGTTGGTAAGTTACCAAGCACTCCTGGTGAGAAAGGACACGGTGTGCATAGAGCATTCCAGGTGAAAACGATGAGGGGCTGAGGCTACAGAGACTGACTTGTCCAGGTTTTCCCAGGACTTTCTTGGATGTAGCAGTGAAAATCCCATTTCCAAGTTTGCCTAGACTATCCTGGTTTTGAGAACACTACAAGTCCCACGTCCCAGGAAACCCTTCAAGTCCCAAGCAAAGCAGAATATTTGATCACCCCATCTGGGGCTCTGGAGGTAGGGCTGAAATGGATAGGAACACTAATCCAAGTGACATTCAGAAGGTAAAATTAATAAGATGCATAATTAGTGGGATGTTGGAAGATGGAAATATGTAGCAAGGTTGAGACAATCTACTTATCTAACATAGAGGTATTGGTGTTTGTATTTTTTAGATTGTTCTTAGTAGGACAGGATTGAATTTTACAATCTGGCTCCCGGAAGCAGCCCATTTATTTTGACATTAATGCCTCATGATCTCTGGTTGCTTGCTGGATTTGGTTCTCTAAACATGTCAAAAATAAATAAATTTCAGGCTACCGTTCTTATGAAATAAATTTTAAATGATGCCATTTAGAAAAAGCCAGAAGAGAAATAAGAGCAGCTCATCAGATCATTTTAACATTTTCAACTAGATATTTGAATTTATGTTGTTTTTCCAATTCCTGGATTGTGGGTAACATTCTTTAATTCTTTTCCAAACCAGCTTGATTGTGCAAGCCACAGATAAAGGGATGCCCAGGCTTTCGGATACAGCCATGATTGAGATACAGGTGACTGATATAAATGACAATGCCCCAGCTTTTCTCCCCTCTGAAGCAGTGGAAATTGCAGAAAGTAAGTGTGACAATTTGGAATAGTGGTTTTGATTAACTTGTGTAATATGATTTACCATTTTTTTCAGCCAGATACTGTGTTAAATATGAGTACAACAGCCATGCAAGCTAGATCATTTTTATCTTCATTTTACAGAATAGAAAATGGATGGTCATAAGTTAAATATCAAATGGCAAAGGAGTTAAATGTTAAAGCTGGGATGTGCATTCACATCAGGGGGAGGCCAAGTACCCATGCTCCAACTGCCATTCCTTCCAGCATCTGTTTATGTACAGACATTTCTTGAAAATTAAATCTACTTGATGAAGAAGCATATTTTGTGGACCATGATAACCATTGTGAAGAAGCAATGTTCACACCTATGTCGATCTTTGCAGGATACTAATGACAAATAATAAGTGAAGTGAATTAATTGCATATTGGCTGCACAAAGCCATCATTTTCCCCTAGAGTAACCTAACCTTCAATATTTGTACCATACCAGTGGTAGTGGTTGAAATATAAAATTTTAAGTGATATACTAATTAATCTTCATTGTTTGGGTCTTTGGATTATTCAATGACTTTGTAAGTCTGTGAACCCAAAGTTGTTCATGGTCAGTGGCTGCCCTGGTAAAACTCAACCCAACTCATTATAGTTGAAGTGAAAATAATGGTGGCCCCTCACTTGCCTCTCTTCTTTCCCTCTAAATACCAAACTCTTTCTTAACATGTTTCCACCGTTTCATTAGAGTCACTTGCCAAACAAATCATCACTACCTCTCACAGAGGGATTCATACCAGAAAACTCTATGCATAGGATATCTACTAATATTACAGTCTACAAATAAAAAAATTCTCCAGCTTTGCTTCTAACATATTTACTGTTTTTAAGTACTATTTTAAAGTACATGCGTTAGTGTGAAAATACAGCAATGTGCTTAGTATAAACATATCACAAGAACAAACTGAATAAATCAAATCGTACTGAATGGGGTAAGGTGTGGTTGGTGAACATCAAGAATGTTCAAGCTGGAAAACTGAAAATTATGACTCTTGTATACAGTGGGGCTATTCTGAGTATTTTGGCATATTCTTTCCGCCTGTACCATACCTGTAGGCTTAAAAACAAAGTCCCTTTCATGGGAAGTTTAGGCTGGAGAACACATGGGGTGCACGAGACTGAGTATGTCATCTGTTTTGTGATTTTTTTTTTTTGGTGAAAAATATTAGAGATTTGCTTTCATGGCTAGTACTGTGTGCAGTTTGTTTTTCTATAGTCTTGATAATTTTGAGAGTCAAATTTAAGAAAAGGAAGCAGTGTATGTGCCTCTTCAAAAGAAATAATATTGCAAAAATAAATACAAGGAAATAAACATCTAACTCTAACTTTAATACCCAAATATGTCCATTTAAATCTGTCATACTTGTCAAAATTTCATGTTTTGTATTATGATTCTGAGTAATACCCTTCCTCCCATCCACGCCCCCATGGATGTGTGATTTTGACACAGAAACTGGTTAGTACAAATAAGTGGCTCAGAATGTTTCTTGGTCCTGGAATTGTGTTGCAAGCATATGATGAAAAAAAATGTAACATTAAAATCAAACATACTCTACATCTCAATTCCCTACTCAGTAGTAAATTTTCACATTTATTGGGCTCATAAATTCTCCAGAGTTTTTGTTCAGTTCATAATGAGCTTTGTATGAGAAATCGAGCCAAGAAAAAGCAAATCATGTTGGACTTAGAATAAAAATGCTTGGATCGAATTATTAAAGAAATGTATCTCCAAGGATGAATTTTAATGGAGACTGACATTGCTCATGACTATTTCAGATTTTTTGCCTGGTGTCCCTGTGACTCGCGTGTCAGTTCAGGATGCAGATTTGAATCCAGCTTTCATCTTCAGTTTCGCCAAAGACGGTAATCCCGGAGCCAAGTTCGCTATTGATCGGAGCACTGGAGTGGTGGTGTTGGTGGAAACACTGGATTTTGAAAAAGTCACGGAATATGAGCTGCTCATCCAAATTTCTGATTCCGTGCACCACGCAGAGGGAGCACTCCTAGTGCGTGTGCTGGATGTCAATGATAACCCGCCAGTGTTTGCTCGAGATTTCTACCAGGTAAAGAGAGGCTGAAACCGCAGCCAAACCTCGAAAGAACAGGGAATATGTCAGCCTTCCATTGTTGCCAGACTAATTTAGGCAGACAGTATTCACTGTTCTTAGTGCCTAAAATAATGCTGCAGGTTTTGTGTTTAATATCATGGAGGCTATTAGCACATGTGGAAATGAATGTCTCATTCAATTCAGTTTTATTAAATATATACGTTTTTTATTCTTTTTAGTCTTTAGGGGTTGGAGTCCAGTTGTTCATAATAGTTGGAACTTGCCTAATATTTGCTAAGCCACAGATAAGATAGTTTGTATTATCTGAAGACAATTTGGGCAAATTCTTTCTTTCCTAGGCATATTTTTAGAATGTATTGATTAGCATTTTACAGGGGAAAAAAAAAATCATGAACCAGACTCTAAAGGAGAATTTCAGTTTTTAGAGCTTAGTATATATTTATAGAAGTAAGGACAATGATAGCATTCAACCAAGTGGCTGGAAATGGACTCCAGGACTGTTGATCGCAGCAAATGAAAGATTGGAGTGTAAGCACAGGGGGAAACTAACCTAAGTAATGATCGTCTATGAAGGCTTGCTTGGATTGTGAAAGGTATATAACGTAATGATGTATATTAGCGACTGTATTAACGGCCTTCTGCCATATACAAATAGCTTAGAAGGAAAATTTTTCATAATAAAAATCAAAACTGTATGAAACTTATTTTGTTTTTTTTCTGAATATGGGGACTATTAACATAATTTTAAAATATATGTTAACCCTATAAATTGATATAGCTGAGAAAGTCAGGTTGTATTGTACAGTTTTCATAATCAAAATGAATAAGATGACTTTGTGTTGTGGCCCAATTCAGGGAAATGCCTTCGGCCTTTCAGCACAGTGTCCTTTTTTTTCTCTTTTTCCCTCAGGTCACAGTTCCTGAATCGGCACCTGTGGGGTATTCGGTGCTGACTGTGTCAGCCACAGACCTAGAAAGCACTGAGAACATTTCTTACAGAATCCTGTCCTCTTCTGAGGCGTTCTTCATTGATCCTGTGAATGGTGAGTAATTTTGTAGCGGCATTAGTGCACATATGTTAGAGGCACAGGATGGAAACCTAAAATGATCCTTCCCAAGTGCCCCTAAAAGAGTCCCCCTGACTCTTACTACATAAAATAAAATTCGGAGAAATTTGTGACACAAGTAACCTCAAGCAGCACACATATTTCATAGAATGAATGCCATGACTATCGTTTCTGGATAGTGTTATAAAAATATATTATAATAATTTTGCCTTTCTAGCTGGAGTCATTGTTAATTGTGACTGAAGTCTAACAAAGAGCTAAACACATTAGTAGATAGTCCATAAGCATTTGCTGACTAAATGGATCATGAAAATTTAATTTCATATTAAAGTACTATGTCTTGTTCCTCAGGTACAATATTTACTATCAATCCCATATTACTTCTGGATAAAATATCAACAGTTCAATTTCTTGTGGAAGCCAGCGACGGCGGACTTCCTGACCTGAAGGCCCTTACCTTAGTGGAGATAGAAATACAAGACATGAACAACCACGCCCCTGAGTTCACAGTAGAATACTACAATCTCAGCTTGAGTGAAGATACCCCGATTGGAAGCACACTTCTCACCTTTTCAACCACTGACCATGACTGGACCCGTGAAAACACCTATGTTGACTATTCCATCGTCAATGGTGATTCCCAGAACAATTTCCATGTAGAAACTAGCTCCATTTATTCAGCACATCCTTATGAGCAAGTTGGTCATCTCGTCCTGCTTCGCGGTCTGGACAGAGAAGCAACGTCCAGCCATAAACTTGTCATTCTGGCATCTGACCGCGGCTGCCCTCCCTTGAGTGCCACAGCGGTCATATCCATAGAGGTGCTTGATGTCAACGATAACCCACCTCACTTCAGCAGTCCGGACTATCACGTGCACGTCAAGGAAAGCACCCCTCTCGGGAGTCACATCACCGTGGTCTCCGCAGATGACCGTGATGTGGGCTCACATGCAGAAATCATCTACCACATAATCTCAGGGGACGAGAAGGGACATTTTTACTTAGAAGAAAACACTGGAGTCCTTTATCTGAGTAAACCTCTGGATTATGAAGAAATGATAAAATTCACTTTAACTGTCCAAGCTTCGGATGAAGAAAAGAAACACTTTTCTTTTGCAGTTGTGTTTGTGAATGTCCTAGATGATAACGACCATGCGCCTCAGTTTATGTTCTCAAGCTTCAGCTGTGTCATTCCAGAAAATCTGCCTGTGCTCTCCACCATATGTTCTGTAAATGCTTTGGATTTTGATGCAGGGCCTTACGGAGAATTGACCTATTCGATTCTGTCGCCCTGTTTTATCCCTCATGGAATGTCTTACGATCATGATCTCTTCCTCATTGACCCTTTGACAGGGGATATTCGTGCCAAGCAAATCCTTGACTATGAAAATGGTAATAAATATTGCCTCACAGTTCAGGCCAAAGACAAAGGTGACTCAACAGCCTCCTTAATGGTTTGGGTGGATATTGAAGGGATAGATGAATTTGAACCCATTTTCACTCAAGAACAGTATTTTTTCACCCTCCCCGAAAAGAATAAAGCAGGACAGTTGATTGGCAGAGTAGAAGCCTCAGATGCAGATGCTGGTCTCGATGGAATCATTCTTTACTCCCTTGGATCTTCATCTCCTTTCTTTTCAGTAAATAAAACTAATGGAAATATTTATTTGATTAGAGCCCTTCCCCTAATAAAAAATCAAGTCAGCAAAGAAGACACCATGGAAATGAAAATACTTGCTCATAGCCCTAAACCGGACTCCAAGTTTGCATCTTGCATGGTTTTTCTGAATGTGTCTTTCTCCTCAGAAGGAATGCACGCCGCTGTGTCCACCAGCTTTTCGTTCAGCCTCACCGTCTCCTTTTTAGTGTTTCTCTTACTTGTCTGCATTCTCATTGTGCTGATTTTAAGACATAAACAAAAGGACACAATGAACAATTATGAGAAGGAAACCTCATCATCTTTAGATAGCAACTTGAGAGTGACCAGCGATGCCAGCGTGCTCAAGGCCTTCCAGAAAACTAATGACTGCAATAAGGAGACAGTGTTTGTGGCCCCCACATCCGAATGGTTGAGTTTAATAAGCATCATGGAGAAGGACATTGCCAATCTGTACAGGCACTCCAACTCCAGCGGCCACTGTTCTGTCGAAGGAGAAACTGCAGAAGATCAGGAAATCCAGAGGATAAATGAGCATCCTTACAGGAAGGGCTCGGACTCAGCGCTGAGCGACCGGGAGTCCAGGGTTCCAGACTCGGGAATCCCCAGGGACTCGGACCAGCTCTCCTGCCTGTCTGGGGAAACTGATGTGATGGTCACGGCCGAGACAGCAGAAGCCAACCAAGCATTTGAGGAAGGAGATCGAGGGGAAGGCTGCAGCACCACCTATGTTCAAAGTAATGTGTTACCCCGGACAGTTCAGAAGAGAGAGGCAAAAGAGGACATCCTGGCTGATGTCAGAAAAGAATTTATCTTTACTTCAGGTGATCGGGAAGCAAGGTGTGCAGCTCTTTCAACTCAGATAACCTCTGACTGTGATGGAAGAGGCAACGATCACTGGGATTATCTCCTCAGTTGGGAACCCAAGTTCCAGCCTCTTGCCTCAGTATTTAATGATATTGCAAAACTAAAGGATGAATATTTACATATGCCTGGCATTCCAAAAGAGAAGAAATCTTTTGTTTTTCCACCCCCTTTGATAACAGCAGTAGCCCAGCCTGGGATTAAAGCAGTTCCACCGAGAAAGCCAGCCATACTGCCAGGGCAGGTCCTTCAAAAACACCCACGCTCCCCCATCCCCTACCATCTTGGCTCTCTCCCAGAAGCTATGACTCCAAGTTTTTCTCCCTCTCTTTCCCTGCTGACCATGCAGACTCCGGCCATGTCTCCCCTGGCATCAGATGGAGAATTAGTAGGAATACACATAAATGGTACGTGCCATGAACTTAAAGCAGAAGATGAAGTTCAAATATAAAACCATTGAGATGCCAACCAGTGTTCACCACTGGTCATGAATGACTGAACAAAACATTCTCAAGCAAGCTCCTCCAGATTGGGTTCATTCTTATCTAAAAGCAAGTGACTTAGTCAGTGATTTTAAAACCTGCCCATTAACATTTCTCAAATTTCTTCCAGCCTTAATGAGAATTATTCCCTCTTTTAACCCTTATGTGCTGCTCTCAGGACTCACACATGTATATATCGAGTAGTGTATATTCTGTTATACCTGTTTTCTGTTATGATTAGATTTCCAAAGGACTCAATGAACTTACGTGGCTGCCAAAATGTTTATATGGAAATAAATGGAAATAAAGTATAGTGCTCACTCTGGTCACATTGCTGCTGCTTACACTACTATATCTGAAACAAATTAGTAAAGGCTAAATAAGGAATGAATTCAGGACAGAAAGTAACACACAAGGGAAATCTGGAGGATAAATTTCAGTTTTAAGAGGAATTGACAATCTGTGGCTCTGATATAGACATGTATTTCTCCATTTCCCCCACGTACCACACTTGGAGAGTTTAGCCATGATTTGAATTTCGGTGTGATGTCTTTTGAAAATCTAATGAGATTAAGAATAAATTTTGTCATAACTCTGTGCCAAGAGGGAGAAACAAATAAGACAATTATTCTTGATGAAATGAACCAGAAATGCATGTTCTTGACTGAGGGCCACGATTGATAGTAGCAACACGTACATGGTTGGCTCCCACCTGAGATGCGTTGTCTTGGCCTTCTTTACAAATAGAATGATGACTTTTTTCAATGTCCTGTCTTGTAAATTGGTACTTTAAAGATTCGAAGATTAATTTATAGAAATTATTTTATTTTCTTCTAGATAGAGTAACTTTTGGTATGAAATAATGTATCCACTGACTGTCAGTTTTTAACGTTTGTGTAGATAAATTATGTTATTAGCTAATTATAAATTTCATAGAGTCTAACTTAGCAATATATTTTTAAATGGAGATTTTTTTTTTAATATAAATGTTTCTACTATAAAGTTAAGAATGAGTTTCAGAAGTCTTTCTGCCATTGGCTCATATTCATATTTAGCTTTCACAGTTGTTAGATGGAGTGGCAACATGGTTGAAATAATTCTGTTTTGTACAATTACTGTCTTAGAAATACAATAGTATCGTACGGTGCTCATATATAATGCTATATCCTTCTCTCTGGGGAGCCTGAGAATCCGTCACATATTCTTATCCCTTTCAGGAAGGCAGAGTGCATCCTTAAGATGAGTGTCCAGAAGTTGTCTTCCCATGGTAGGCACCATGGCCAGGTTTTAGGATGACAGTTTAGGAATACTAATGTGAAGTAGGAAGGGCCTCTGATAGGATAGTAGTTATGGCAGACTTCTGCTTCAGAAATATTTCCTTTATGTTTTTTTTCTCATAGGCCTCACCTGTGAAATTATGTGAGATAATTAATTTCTCTTTACTGAAAAACATTACAGGGCTTAGTGTTTGATATCTAATATCATTTTGCAGATAAATAATTCTACGGCTTCCTATGCTGGTGTTATCTGTTATACATCTTTGCTGACTCAGATTGAGAACAAATGTATAAAACCACATTACAAATTGTATGAAACACGAAGGCTTTGGGATAAGCCTGGAATCCTAGGGAAAGTCATTTAGGTTGGAACATTTAAATATTATGGGACTGATACATGTTTCCCCTTTTCTTCATTGCCTCTGGGGAAGATTTCATGACTTTCATAAAAAGTGCATTTAATCATATAAGTGTTCCAATATTTATTATCTCTTTGACTCTTTTCCAAAGATTGCTTTGAGCATAGGAAGAAATTCTATATTTTTTTGTCTAATTATGTATGGAAGTTTTGTTTTGCAACAGGATTATTTCTGGAAACCAAGAACATTTTGTTGTTTTTATTTAAACAGTTTCTTCGTTTACTTATGCTTTAAAAAAGTTACCCATCTAACTGATCCCTGTGTTACTTGCCTGTGTTTATGACTCATTCCAGACACGATTCTGCATTTTTTTTCTAGCCACTTGATAAAAACAGAAGTCATGAAGTATTTAACGTTCCTTACCAATATTTAGTGGATTTTTAATTGATGGCTTCATTAATATTGTATCAGCACCACGACACCACCACCAACTGCTGCAAATGGGATTGAGGGTACAAATGTGAACATGCTGGTGAAGTGTTTGTAATAAATCATATGTCAGCCCTTTCAACCAGACTGCTTTTTTCCTAAGTAAACAATATAATTTGTACAGTTTTCCTTCAAGTTTAATATTAACTTGCCTCATGTGTTCTGCGTTACTTTGCTGATCTGCGCACTAGCTTTAGCACTCTGGAGGGGGTACAGAACTTGTTAGTGGAAAATCATATTAAGCCCCAAATTCATAAGCTATAAAATAAAAGACAGTTGTCTCTTGTGGAATTTTGGCTGCCTGAAATTCTGGACTTTCTTGTTGGCAGCCTTGAAAATACTGGTGTAAATCAGTACCAAATGGATATCAAAATTCCATGTCCTAGTAGTAATCATTGAATTGGCTTCCAAAACAGATTCCTGGGCAAAGAAAAAGAAAAATGCTGTATCTTTAGGGATTGGATCATTTGACTGTTTTTAAAAATATGAAAATGCACTAAGCACTACTGGCTGCCCACATGTATACACATATATTTAGTCTCTAATAGATGTCCAATTGAGACAGGATTTGTGTTTCTCAGGACGTTTTTCCTGAGAGCCCTCCTTGCTGTGCTTTCTAGAAGTTATAATGATGACCATTAATTATTAATTGTACATCCAAACATATGCCTTGTTACTTTTGTTTTGTATTGCCATTTTACACATGCCTTAAATTTAAAAAAGCCAGATATAACTGAGGATCTAAGATGATGATCCACTTCAAAGCAATGAAATACATGGAGTTTAATATAGACGGGGTATTCCCACATGATATTATAGATACACTCACTGGGTTTATGTTTTATTTCTGTGGTCTCCATCCCCTGGGCCGTGGACCGGTACCATGGCCTGTTAGGAATGGGGCCACACAGCAGGAGGCGAGCGAAGCTTCATCTGGATTTATAGCCGCTCCCTATTGCTCGCCATCCCTCCCACCTCCATCCTGGTCTGTGGAAAAATCATCTTCCATGAAACCAGTCCTTGGTGCCTGAAAGGTTGGGGACCACTGTTTTACTTGAGCTCAAAAGAATAGAGCCATGTGTTTGGTCATAGCTGAGGTGAGTTAGAGTGGGAGAACATTCTGGGCAGGAGGGATGCCAGGATTGATAGAGTTGTGGGAAGCTTTGCTTAGGCCCAATACCAGGCACTTAAGGATGAGTTTTTTGCCCATTATAGAGCTGGAAGGAGGGAAGAAAAATTTGAGGGAGAGAAGAAAAAATAGGATTAAATCTTAAAAGAAATAGTTTAGGACACAGAAAATTGCAAGAACATAGAAGGTAAGGACTTATAAAAAGTAATTTTTACTGTGTGAAGATTTTGCTGAGTCATTTGCCCTTCACAGGTTCATCCTTTTGAGGAATCTCTCTTCTCTTCCTTTCTTTCTGTTCCTCTCAAGTCTCTCCCTCCTTCGTCTGACAGATGTATCAAGTTGTGAACCTAAAGCTAGGTGACAATGAACTAGAATACATTTGACCATGAAAACTTATATGTTTGCATTTTGAGATTTTTGTTGGTGGTGTATTTCAGAAAGGAAAAGTAGGAATGATTACCTTATTTTATTTCCCACTCTACGTAACTTTGGCAGTGAGGGGGCCACAATTTTAAGTAGTTGACTTTACACCTTTAACCAAGCAAATGGAAGTTTGGAAGGCAATTGGACAGAATATGGAATTTTAGTGACTAGTCTTTTTTCCTGGTGGCTAGTCCTTTTTTAAAATGGGTGCTTGTTCAGTGGTCATGGTTTTGTATTAAAATACTACACTTTATAACCACAGTATAACATGTAGGGCATGGTCAATAGTTCTTTCTCAAACATTGTCAATTTATTTTAATTCTGGTGACACATTACTTTGATTCAAAAGAACTGTCTATTAGAAACAGAATTATGGCAATCTTAGAGAGATCCAGCCCCAAATGGCTAGGGTATCAAACTATACCTTTCGCTTATAAACTCAGCACTTGGCTATTTGATGACAATTAGCACTTCCTACTGTTTTGGTCTACATAACTTTACTCACTTCATCCAATGCATTTGCTAAACCAAAACTGTGAAGTGAGTAATAGAGAGGGGGAAGGCATGCCAAATAAATAGCAGATGCACAAGTACATCTCTTGAATGAGAAAGCATTATTTTGGTTAGAAAACTAAATAAATGGATTTCCTTGTTAGATAGTAAACCCTCAGGGCAAAAGCCTGGTCTCCACTTGTATTATGAAATACAGATGGTTTTTGGAATGAATGAGTACATGTGTGAATGGGCATAGAGGGTGCTATAGTGTGGGAGCGTAATACATTGACCTTGAACCCATGAAATGAGAATTCCCAAATAGTTCTGTGATTTTAGCCAATCACAGCACAAAGAGAAAGTAAGTGCAAATGATCTATCAAAATATTATAGAATACCTTAGAAAAAGCCAAAAGACCAGAAATTTCTTCTGTAATCTGGTTTGTTTTCTCTTTCTCCCTTCCTCACAATGTACATATATATGAATATATGTACGAATATATGTATATCTTACAAATTTTAGATGTAATAGAAACAAGCTATGTCTGACATTCAAAAGCATATTGTTGGAGAGACAGCAACATGACATGGCCAAGCATATTGGTTTAATTTAATTTCAAATCCTGTGATAAACCATGACTGCCCCTTGGCAGAATGGCAGAATGAAGTTCTGTCAGTATGAGAATAGAATACAGTTCAGTAGATATACATAGAATGTTTGCATCAAAATTTATTAATATTTAAAGTAAAAACAATATGAGGAACTTATGAGAGATATTTTGTGTGTGCATATATACTTAATGTGTGCTAAAGTAACATTTTAAACAAGTACAGATTATTTCATAAGTGCATGCTGAGGAATTGGGGAAGGAGATAAATATGAAGTTATTTCTTCTCATACCATAAACAAATAATTCCCAGAAAAAAACAGCTAGTGAGATAGGATGGAAAAACAGGGTAGTATGATATCCCAGAACCCAAGTGAAGAAAGTGATTTAGGTTCTGCTCAGGGGAAAATAGCAGCATCCATGCAGATTTTTAAATCTTCTCAAATTCCTTTGCAAAATGGTCAGAGCAACTAAAATAGGGAAAGCAAAAACTCACAAACAGCATCTTTAACAGAAACAGAAGTCATTCTTACAAACTCTAGAATATTGGCCAGCAAGCAAAATCAGAGGGAAGTCTTAGATACAAAGGGAAGGAATCAGAGAAAGCAGAAGGTACAAAGAGGTCCTATTTGTAAATACTTCACAGAAACCAGAGAAGGGCCATGAATCTAGAACCGTGGATCTAGAAAAGCTATCCTGGTTTGCCACTACCCCTGTATTGTAACCTTCTAAAATATAGGAAAACCCATCTCAATAAAACATGAGCTACACAAAATAATTACAATATAAAATACATTGTAAGCAGAAAGACTAGCGCTCTGAATGACGTACCAATGGACAGTGAAAACACACTAGAAAAATGCAGCAAAAAGGCCAAGAAAGTTTTGACTTAATGTTTCAAAACTAACTAAAAGAAAATAAGAAAACGGTAACAACTACAAAGGTTGCGTAATCAATCGGAAAAGTTGGAAATGAAAAGACTAGCCAAGAGGTAAATATTCATAAATAGAAATCAGAGCTCAAGAAATGGTAGAAAAGAAAAGACAAAAATCAGAATACTAAACTAGTATGAACAAAAAGTTGATAGACACCAATGAGAGTACAGAAAGAGAGATAGAAAATGGAAAAGCAAAAGTGAAAAAAAATCACATGGAATTGAAAAATGATAAAAAGATTTAAGACATCAAAGACTTAGCACACTGGGAAAAATGATTCAGCACATATATGAATAAAATTCCTAAAGAAGAAAATATCCCCCAAAATGGAGCAGAAAAAAATATACAAATCATAATTCAAGAAAACTTGGTAGACATAAAATTTTAGTCTACGTATTGAAAGGGTATTCCATGTAAAAAATAAACCTAGAGCAGTTAACAGCAATATATATTCTAAAAATCTACTGAACTGTAAAGAAAAAAAAGTCCTTTGGGCTTTCAGATAAAAGTGCCAACTTCCTTACACGGTAAAGAACATCAGATTGACTTACTTTTCAACAGTAGTATTTTAGGCCAAAAGACTGTTATGTAATATATTTAAAGTACTTGTAACATAAGCTAAAATATTATATCCAGCTAAACTTACTGTTAAGTACATATATCATAGATGAGGCTATGACTGTGTAAGACCTCAAGGAAAATTTCTCAAGAATTAAGTAGGAAATGAGTTTTAGACAACTGAGAAATACTGAGAAAGGTTCACTGTAAGCATGTTAAAGATATTTAACCCTAGAGCTGATGGTGGATATAAAGGTGATAGAATAGTAAATACTCGATACATTCCCTGATAATGTAGATAAATTACAACTACAAAAATAGGAGAAGAGTATATGGAAGTAGAATTCTTACTAATTGCCTTATAGGTATTAACTTGGAGTAAAAGCTGTTATTTTAAATTAGAAAAAAGGAAGAAATTAGAAGAAAACATTCAAGATCAAAACAAATTAATGAATTCAAGAACCAAAAAAACTCCATGAAATTATAAATAAGTAAATCTGGTTCTTTAAAAATTAATTAAATTAAATCAATTAAATGTGAGAAAATGCAAAATAAGAAAATAAACAAAATAAAAAATAATAAACAAAAAAAGAGCAAAGGGAGAATAACAAGAACTCTCAAAAGAAAAGAATTTACATCAAACGAGACTTTTCTGCACAACTACATACAAATTCATTTGAAATCCTAGAAGACATAGATTATTTTGTAGGAAAATGTAATTTACCACAATTGATCCCAGCAAACATAGAGTCTATGCAAACCAAATTTAAAAGAATCAAGATGTAAGGAAGCACCCTCCCCCAAATAGTTCTATAGTGAAATTTTATCAAACCTTTAAAGACCAGATCATCCGAATGCTACTCCAAAGCATCGAAAAATAAGGAAAATGTTCAAAGTCTTTCAATAATTTAAACATAGAATTCATATCAAAACTTTAAAAATATTGCACAAAATAGAAAACTACAGCCTATTACCACTTATAAATATGTAAGCAAAATTCTTAAATTAGCAAAAAGAACTAATAGTACACTAAAAATAATACATCATAACATGGACTTTATTTCAGAAAAACAAAATGATTCAATAGTAAGAAATCAATCAATGTAATTCATATTAATAGAGCTATGGAGAAAAAACAATATGAACATTTTCTTAAGGCACTTAATAAAATCCAACATCCATTTATGTAAAAAGCACTCAGTAGTCATTAGTGGATACCTCCTTAAAATTATATTTAACCCAAAAGCCAGATCTTCTCCAATGGAGATACTCTAGATCCTTTCTGGCGAAACAAGAAGGCAATATGCCTGGTATCTCAACCAAAATTTAATATTGTATTGTAGAAATTAGTTCATACAATTAGACAAGACAGCAATTAGAAACATTAGATTTTGAAAGAATAAGGTGAAACTATCTCTATTTGTAGACTATTTTATATTTCTGGGAAAAGTGAACATCACTGATGAAAAACTATTATAAACAATAAAATAATTTAGTAAAGTTGAAAGCTATAAAATTAATATGCAAAAAAATAATATCAGTACCCTTCAGATATATGAACAATAATCAGAGGATGAATAAAAGAGAAGACTACTTAGAGCAGGAAAAAAAATCTAAGCAAAAACTTAACAAAAAAAAATGCCTAACCTCAATGTGAGGAAACTTATAATGTCTCCTGAAGTGCACAGAAGAAACTCGAATAGATGCTCTTGAATAGAAAGACTCAATGCTAGAAAAGTGTGAGTTGCTCCTAAGAATTTCCAAATTTAACCTTATCCAAATACACATGTCATACTTTTTTTCTGGCATTAAAGAACTTGATTATACCATGTATTTGGAAAAATAAACAAGCAGAACAGCTAGGAAACACTGAAAAAAATATGAGCTCTGTGTGTGTGTGTGTGTGTGTGTGTGTGTATGCATGCAAGTGTGCACACATGCACTAACCCTATTGGATAAAAAATGTATCATAAAGCCTCTAATTAAAATAGGGTGGCAGTGGTGCATGACTAGATAGACAAATAGAACAGAATAGAAAATCCAGAAAGGATCCAAGTACATCTAAGTCTTCCTGTAATGAAGTATTAACTTGCTGTTTACCAACTCTCCTGCTAAGAGTAAGCACAAAAGCTGAACAACAATAATAATAATGGGGAAGAGGAAGAGAAGGAGAAGAAGGAAGAGGGGGAAAGAGGAGGAGGAGAAGGAGAAGAAGAAAACTGACAGGTGTGTGTGCATGTGTGTGTGTGTGCGCGTGCATGTGCGTGTGGCATCAGAGAACTACCAAGGCAGTGAAGACTAGGGAAACCATGCTATGCTCCTGGAAAGAAGAGAAACACAGAGAGGTAACCCTGATATACTGTGCCTCTGAGCTCTTTGAGACTGAGCAGAAATGCCAGCTGCAAAGTTGAGGAGCTAAACAGAGCCACTGGCACTTTTTTTAAAAAATGAAAATCAAATTCTAAACTATAAAATACAACTCCTGCTTCATACCTACTAAGATAACTATAATAAAAAAGAATAACAAGTGTTGGTTGTGATGTGGAGAACCCATAACTCTCATAAGTTGCTAATATGGGAATGTAAAACAGTGCAGTCTGTATGGAAACTGTCCAGAAGTTCCTAAAAATGGTAAGCTGGGGGCAGTGGTTCATGCCTGTAGTCCCAGCTATTGGAGAGGCTGAGGCAGGAGGACTGCTTGAGCCCAGATGTTTATGTCTAGCTTGGGCAACATAGCAAGACCCCATCTCTTAAAAAAAAGTCCAACATAGCTGTATTACCCAGCAATTCCACACCTAGGTTTATACCCAAGGGAAATAAAAGTTATGTCCACACAAACCTTGTCTGTGAATATTCATAGTAACATTATTCATGATAGCCAAAAAGTGGAAACAACTCAAATGTCAGTTAACTGATAAATATATAAACCAAATGTGGTATACCCATAAAATGGAATATTATTCAGAAAAAAAAATAGTACTGGCACATGCCACAAACACAGAACTTGAAAAAACCACTATGCTAAGTGAAAGAATACAGTCACAAAAGGTCACATATTATATGATTCTATTGATATGAAATGTCCAGAATAGGCAAAAATATATGGAAGGAAAATAGATTAGTGAGGCCTGACGCTCGAGAAAGATGGGGAAAGACTGATAATGGGTATGGATTTTCTTTTTGGTGATGAAAATGTTCTAAAATTGATTGTGATGATGGTTGTACCACTGTGTGAATATAATAAAAACTATTGAATTGTACACTTTAAATAGGTGAATCGTATGATACGTGAATTATATTTCAATAAAACTGTAAAAAGATAATAACTGAAATTAAGAACTCAATGTGTTTACATAAGATTAGACACAGAGGAAGAGAGGATTAGTAAATTAGAAGATATATAAAAAAATACAGACTGAAACATGGAGAGAAGTTTGGAAAATACTGAAAAGAGAATAACAGATGAATGGAATGAGGTAAAAAGGTCCAACGTATCATTTCATGTGGTCTTTAAACTTGGCTTTTAATTTTTAATTTTATCATTTCCTTTTCTATCATTTCTAATGCCATTCATTTTTCTCTTCAGCTGATATAATAGAAATATTATAATAATTTGCCTGTTGTTAGAATATGGAATATTAAAGTAGTTCTCAACAATGAGACAAAAGCAAATGGACTTTGATTACTTTGTAAAGTTTTACTTTTTCAGATTTAATTTACTTAAAAATATAGTTTTTATTTCTATCAAAAATTTCTGGAAAATCCCTAAACTGTATGTTAATTACAGAAAGCATATCTGGTTAATTTTATGAAATGGACAAATTTAAAAGTAATGAAAATAAAAAGCCTCAGATTATTGTTAGATTATATGCCACAGAAAAGGGAAATATATTAACCTTTGGGAAATTAAATAAATAATAGCTAAAATTTGTTGAGTGTTTATTTTGCACCAGGTATCATGCTAAATGTTTTATGTGTGGTATATTTTGTTTAATCTTCAAAATAACCCTACAGGGTAAATACTAATATGGTCCCATATAATCAATAAGAAAACCATGGCTTAAAGAACTAGTAACTGGTGGAACCTGGAATCCTACTCAGTGGTGTGACTAGAAGCTCTTCTCTTAACCCTTTCAGGACATTGCCTGAAACTTGAAAGCTCCTTAAAAATGTCAAATTTTTTATTTATTTTTTTATTTTTTTATTTCGGCATATTATGGGGGTACAGATTTTAAGGTTTCAATAAATGCCCTTTCCCCCCTCCTCCCACAAGTCTGATTCTACAGCATGACCATCCCCCAGATGGTGCACATGTCACTCATTATGTATGTATATGCCCGTCCCCCTCTTCCCTTCCCCCTCCCCAATACCCTATTACTGTAGTACCTAAGTGTCCACTTAGGTGCTACTCAGCTAATACCAGTTTGCTGGTGAGTATATGTGGTGCTTGTTTTGCCATTCTTGGGATACTTCACTTAGTAGTATGGGTTCCAGCTCTAACCAGGAAAATATAAGATGTGCTATATCACCGTTGTTTCTTAGAGCTGAATAGTATTAATGTCGAATTTTTTTAAATGATAAACTTATATTGGCCCCATTTCAAAAATTCTTTAATACGCACAGATAAAATTCAACAAGTGACAAGCCATCTGGCAACTGAGCAGATATTTTTCCTTTGTTGGAATCTATAGTCACAGCCAATTCATAATTGAGAGATTATTCTACAGACACTTAATAATTTTTTCTAATTGTCACCTTTTCTTGTATACAAAGAAAGTCATGTTTAAAATAGAACTGATGACACAACTGGCCAAATGGCTTTGAAAGTTCATACACTGCTCCAGTTTCCACTGTTGACAAATAGCAACAAGAGATAAAATACTTAAAGCAAACATAAAATAAAAATGGCATAGCCAAGTTAAAACACAAGGTGATCATCGCCATGGCAATACCTAGTAAAGCTGCAATGTCTAGTACAGCCTTTATCCTACAAAGATGGGTAATTTTATTTCTAGGTATATATGACAGAGAAAAATGTCTCCCCCACCCCCGTGTGTGTGTGTGTGTGTTTGTGTGTGTGTGTGTGTGCGCTTGTGTGTGTGTTTGTGTTTAGTTTTATTTTATTTTATTTTTGAGACAGAGTCTCACTCTGTTGCCCAGGCTAGAGTGAGTGCCATGGCGTCAGCCTAGCTCACAGCAACCTCAGTCTCCTGGACTCAAGTGATCCTTCTGCCTCAGCCTCCCAAGTAGCTGGGACTACAGGCATGCCCGGCTAATTTTTTCTATGTATTTTTAGTTGGCCAGTTAATTTCTTTCTATTTATAGTAGAGATGGGGTCTCGCTCTTGCTCAGGCTGGTTTCGAACTCCTGACCTCGAGTAATCCGCCCGCCTCGGCCTCCCAGAGTGCTAGGATTACAGGCGTGAGCCACCGCGCCAGGCCGTTTGGTTTTATTTTAAAATATTTCTCTTTTACTTTACATACAGAATCACGAAAGCAATCACCTTATCCCCAAAGTGGCAGGAGCGACACCCCATTCTGTCACATCCATTTCCAGGCTATAGGGCAAAACTGCAAGATCAGGCATTTGGCCGCATTCATCTCCAACACAGTGGGTGGCGAGAGGGGCAAGATAACGAAGGGAAGAGGCAGCCCGTGCGCCCTGGACATTCCCCTCAGGATGGGACTGGACGGTGTTGGTAAGGAGCTAGTCCACCCACCTCAAGCCCCAGGCTGGGGACAGCGCTTGGCCGTAAGCAGGGACCAAAAGCCAGGATAGGTGCCACTGGGCTAGGAGCCAAGAAAACCGGTTCCCTCTTTTAGGAACTTAGAAGGCCGCAACAAGCCAGACCTGTTCCATTTTTTCCACTAGCAGAGCTGGATTCTAGCTCCAGTTCTGACCTTGAGAAAGTCAAATTGTCTTGCTCTTTTAAAAACCTTAAGGGTGGTTTCCAGAAATGTATAAGCTTCTTTCTAGCTCCAAGACCCTACCACTCAGGGACCCTTCCTCCCTTTAAAAATCACTGGAAGATCTGTAAGGGCCGATTCTCCCCTCTGGTCCCCCATTACCAAGGAGCAGGCTAGAGGGCAGGAGTAGGACCTGGACCAGCCGCTCTCCAAGGGCGTGGGCTGGATCCAGACAGGAGCCAACAGCAAGTAGATTGCTTCGCCCTAAAAACACTGGCTTAGAAGCAGATGGGTTTGCTTCGCTGCATGAAGCGTATTGGTTGTTCTGGGGATTGCTGGGACAGGCCTCGCCTTGTTCTCTAACTTCCCAGCCTGATGCTCCCACCTCTGAGGGTGGGCATCTAATGGCATATAGGTGCCCACCCCTTTCTCTTAGGTGAGCCTCCAACAGGGAACTCTCTCTGCTGAAGCACAGCAAAAGCATTGCCCTCTCCATTCACTGGAACTTGGTACAGGATTAGTATCCCTAATCTGAAAACCTGAAATCTGAAACATTTCTGGTCCCAAGCATTTTGGATAAGGGATAATCAACTTGTAGACTCTTTTCTGGGGGAAAAAAAAGTCAAGAACCTAGCTCTGTTTTTTCCAGTTTCTAGAGGCAAAATGTCCCAGCAGCTTGTAGACACGTGTGCTGCTGAGAGTCTGCGGTGGGGCAGAGGGCGGCGTGTCTCTGTGCTCTTGGAGGGTCAGCTCCTCGGCAGCACCTGAGCCTTCCACTGCGTGCTGGCTTGCCACGGCACTGACCTGTCCTGGCCACGTGACCATCCACTGCTGACTGGGCAGCAGGCGCAGGCCCTGCCCGAGCAGGCCTGGGTTGGCTGGCCAGACTCCAGGCAAGGCTGCCTGCATCCATTTCTCTAGACACCCTGCGACTAATTTTGTTGCAATTGCATGCAACTGCTGCCATTTTGTTTTAAACATGCAGCTTCCAAAGACATTGAACAAGAAATGAATAGAAGCTCTATGTAGTGTGCATGGCTGAAGTTTGCACCTAGTCTACTCTAGGAGGCAGGCATTGCTAGGCATGGACATTCTGCATTTATGGAGGAAAGTGCTAAAAAGGTAAGATCTATGTAAGATGAGGACCATAACTGGGCTAAATGCTTAAAAACAGGATCTAGGTAGGGCTGCTGAGCTCCATCTCCCCCAAAGGAATGGAAAAGGACAAATTGCTGGGAACTTGAGAACATGAAGGACAAACATTCGATATCATGAATAATAACTAAGTCAGTCTGCCCACAACTAAGTGATTATTCTACAATATCCCAATATTACTGAGAGGCATGAGGCTTTGCAAGTCATTATAAGACCTGGTTCTGGATTCAACACTCTCATTAAAGTCAGAAAGAATAAAAATAAGTGAGGTACAAAATATGGAAAAAATAAGATAAAAGTCTTTATTTGCAGACTATATCACTGTCTACACAGGGATTCTACATGTAAATTATTGGAGCTAACAGAGAATTTATAAAGTTTTTGAACAAAAGACTAATATCAAATATCATTAACATACTTATATGCAATCACTTGGAAAATGGAATAGAAGAAAAGCTTATAATTTCATTCACAGTGACAATGAGGACTATAAGGTACCTAGAATAACACCATCTTGAAGACCTTTTGGAAGAATTTTTAAAATATTATTTTAGTAAACATAAAAGACCTAATTAAATGAAGATACACATTGGAAACATAAGTCTTTAAAATATATTACAGAGTATATATACCACACTATACCATTTGTATAAAGTTTAAAACATGCAAAACAATGCTATATAAATTCTTTATCAATAGATGTGTAGTTTACATGTATAGCATTAGTATAAATATATGTCTTGGAACAATAAACAAATTCACAATGGTGTTTACCATTGGGAAGGCAGTGACATGGGATTTTCAAATGTGGTTGTAATATTTGATTACTTTTAAAAATCTGAAGCAAATCTGGCAAAGTATTAAGCTTTCATAGAGCTGAATTGGTAATATTTTTAAATTAAAAATATATAATAATGATTACAAATGTCAACATCACATAAAAGGATTTTACTTTAAAAACTTGGCTGCTTTTACTTTCACAATCATACTAATTTCTTAGGAACACAGATTTGTCTTCTAAAAGAGAGTGATTTTTCTATCAAAACTGTGGCAATGACTCTTTAAGCATTCAAGTGCTATGGAAAATTTTTTAGGCAGTATGCTTTAATCATCATCTCCTGCCGATGCTTTTTCTTTTCTTTCACTTCACAAAGAATGTCAGCAGAGTGAATGCAATCATGTAACTCTACAACATTACCAGGGGTGAACCACAGAACCTGAGAACTGTCGGGTTTTTTTAAATACATGTTTTAATTTTGAGCAAAAAAGCCCCTTGTTTCTCTGACGAATGAGATGTGGCATTTTCTGATTGGCAAGTGACCCATAGAAAGCACACAGGGAATGATCATGTCACCGTCCAACTTCATAATTAAGTGTAGTTTTGTTTGTAGCCTTAATTGCATTTGTTGGAAGCTGAGTACTTGATTTCCCAATCATGTCTACATTTTTACTTGCCTATGTAAAAATGAATAAGAGGAGGTACGCCTGCAAAGAAATATGAATTGGGGAGATTTGCTTGGTATGAATAAACAGGGTGTTTATCCCACTGTTTAGCTGCCATAGTTCTCCCAGGAAAAAGCTAAACCTTTGTATCGTATAGGCATTTAACCAGGACTGAGAATTTGTCTCTCCAGCTAAATGCTTCTAATTTGATACTTCTCCCTAAATTTCCTTGCCTCTAAATGAGCCAATTTAAGTGTCTAGGTCCTTGACATATCTTTACATATCCAGATGTTGCATCCTAGCACAATTATGACTGGCGTCTTCCCTCCAGAATAATAATGAGGAAGTTGAAAAATATGAAAACCCATGTGACACTGCTTTGTATGCTGAAAACTGTTTCACAAGTGCAATATAACAATCCTGGAAGTAGGGAAAAGGCAAACCAGATTTAGAGTCATATTTGTGTAACTCTGTGTCCCTTTCCTTTAAAGGAAAAGGCACGTTTAGTAGCCACTGTCGGTTGTGAGCATGAAGCTTCCTTCAAGGAGAGGGAGAGGAAGGAAAGGGTATGGTACTCACTATGGCCAAACCAGCCCCAGTTTTCTCAGGGGGATGAAACCATGGCAAGCCCACAATCAGCGTCTGGCGAGCAGTGGGTTCCCAGTGTACCCGTGGTGATTCCAAAGGCATAATAATCACGCCCTGATGACTGTATGTTGGGATGGGTGGAGGAAGAGCCCATCCTCACCATCGTGCCAGTCCGTGTGCAGAGACAGCTGGTTCCACCTACAAACATAGGCCTCACAGCACCACTGGGCTTGTGGATTCAATGATTGCCATTTCTGTCGCTAAAATGTCTCTCTGCACATATTAGCCTGAAGCTATTCACAGTGCCGGGGTTGTTGGGGGACCCACAGGCTGCTAGTGACTCATAGTACAGGTGTGGCTTTGGGGGAAGGCAGAGAGAAGCTGACTCTTGGCATTTCTGCTTCAATTAGAGGTGGTGATATTCATTTTTATGACCTCACACATTAAACAGGACTAGAAAAATTCATTTTATGTAGACTTTTCTCTCTGCAGGCCCTAATGATGTCAGCCTCATGGTGGGTTGAAGGTTGAAGTAGTTCCTTATAGATGAAATATGTCTTAACATACCATTTTTTTTTGTTTTTGGCTTTTTAAAATTATTTCTGTAAACGTAGAATGTACCAAAAGATATAGGAAAACTTCATCCAAAGATCTGAACACACACTTTGTGTAAACTTTCACGAGAAGCTCTGTTGATTCATTTTCCTCCCCGCCTCTCCTCTCCGTCCCGTCTGCATCAGCCCTGACTCCCTGCCTGGTGAGAGGCTCTTTTCTGAGGATTTAGCAGACTGTTTTGAGATGAAAGAAAGGAAAACAAATGATAAACAGCAAAACCTTCTGCATTCTCAGGAAAACAGAGAGAGTGTCTAGAGGAAAATTGGATAATGCTGGTTAGAAGATTAAGTTACCAGTGGTGGAGGAAGGAAGAGGAGTCTAAGAGGAAAAGATGGCTCATTCCCGTGCCTTGTGAAGTGTGTCCCTTGCCATCGGACAAGCCAGTTTTAAGTTCTGTTAGTTAACTCCTTGAAGCTACCAGTTCTCTAAAATGATGTCATGTTTCCTCTCTGGAGGCATGAACGATGTAGATTCAGAGAAAGTTGGCCCTTCCTGGGTGCTAGGATCTAACAGAACTTAACCTTGAAGTCAACATCAGGCCATAGAAAATGACTCTTTAAATCACACTATCTATTCCTAGAACCAACCTTAACCATGGCTGTAGCATAATCAGTAACACTTAAATCACCCCAGTACAGGCTGACCCCAATGTATAGTATCTTCAATTACAAAAGTATTTTCTAAATCAGAAATACTGTTTTCTGTTGGATTGGTAACCAGGCTATCACACTGCAACGTATTTATTCCTATAATATAGCTGAAAGTGTAAAAGCTTTATTATTTAGCAATATTAGCTATACCACAAAACTCAGGGAAACATCTCCTCTGATATAGCTTTAACCCTTTGCACTTGCTTGCTTTTTTCTCATCATCCTCTCGACATTATCCACACTCAATATCCGAGTGCAAAGGGTTAACAGAAATGAGGCTTCTTTTTCTCACCTCTCCCTCCCTCCAACTTGTCTCTGTCCTGGAAGATGAAAGATGGCCACACACTTTGCCTGTGATGCTGGCAGTACACACAAGAACTCTATAGGCAGCAGCACTGTCCCTCGTGAGCCACTGTGAGGGGGCAAGGAAGACACTCCCATTGCCTATG